ATTGACTTTCCTTCTCCATGTTGTATAATTTAGATGTTTATTACCTCTATATTTGTTTATTCTGTTTTGTTGGTTTATGATAACCCTTTAGTCTGGAGTGGTGTTGATAAATTCTTTTAATATTTGCTTTTCATTGCAGCCTCTTACCCTTCATTTTGTATTGAATGATAAGCTTGCAGGGTAAAGTGTTCTAATGTGGAAATTTTTGAGTATTTGTTGTTTCCTGCCATTCCTTTCTTGCCTCTAATTTTTCTACTGAAAAGTCTGCTGATAATATAATTGGTATTCTTTTTAACATTTTTTAAAAAAAGATTTATTTATTACAAGAACTGGGGTATAGGTCAGAGGTGCGGGAGGGTGAGAGAATTTACCAGAGACAGAGTGGGGAGCAGAACAGGCAGATGGACCAAAGACACTGCTGAAGGGAGCAGCAGGCGAGGCAGGAGAGGTCTGCCGTGCCATGTGGGTTTCTCCCTGGCTGGCCGGGAATCGAATCCATGCTGCAGAGGCTGCGGACAGGCTGTGCTCAACCCGCTGCACCACCGGGGAGGCCCTAATTGGTATTCTTTTATAGGTGACTGTACTTTCTGTCCTTATCATTGCCTTGAGCTTTTTTGCTTTTTTTTTTTTTTTTTAATAATGTGTCTTGAGTAAGTTGCTCTGGCATTTTGTTTGGAACTCTTTGGGCCTCTTGCTTCAGGACATCTGATTCATTTTCCAGATTGAGATGGTTTTTAGTGATTATGTCTTTAAATAAATTTTTTATGGTGTTCTCTTTCTCTTCTGGAACCATCATGATGCTATTATTTCTCTTTAGGTTATCCCAAAGAGCTCTTACATTTTGTTTTTTCTCTTTGCTGTTCTGTTTGTGTTATCTCTACCACTGTGTTTCCAGGCTTACTAATTCTCTTCATTATTTGCATTTGTCTACTTTTGAGGCCCTCTGATGTATTTTTAAATTGTTATAGAATATCTTAGATTTGTTTGCTCTAGTTGTAACAATTTTATGTTTTCTCAATTTATATTGTGTTCCGGTTTTCCACTATCCATTGTTTTTCTTAATTTAGCAAGAATGATTGTAATTGTTGTCTTAAGTTCTTCTCTAGGCATATTTCATAATTCTTCTGTATTGAGACTTCTTTTGGGTTTTTTTTTTCCTTCTGGCATTTGTGATATATTCATATGTCTCTTTAATTTCAGTTTTATGGGTTGTAATTTTTTTCCTTTATAAATTAGGTTTATAACCCTTTGATAGTAAACTGGGTGTAATCCTAGGTATTCTAACCAGGATCTCCAGGTGTCTGTTATTTCACAGACTGCTGCTTTTTTTAGTTAAAATCCAGGTTAATGCCTTCCAGTTATTCTTAGAATAAGGTCTAAATTATTTAGCTTTTTCCAGAATTTTTTTTATTTTTATCTTTTTGTGATCTGTTTCCCGCTTATATATATTGCTTCATTTCTTTTCAATCTCCCATTGCTCTTTATTCATGTGTAATAAGGTGATTGTGAAGTGTGCCAAGTTTTCTCTTATCCTGTACCTTTACATATGCTGATCTCTGTGTCTTACTTACTCTTTTATTTTTTTTTTTTTTTGCCTCAATCCATCTCATTGTTCCTAAAGTCTCATTGTAGATGATTTTCCCAGTAAACGTTCCTTGACTCATATTGGAACAGGTGTTGCTGCTGCTTGTAGTTCTGTGGAACCATAGTCCCAATTCTCCTGAAAATCATGATTATTTTGAGGTTAATTAATTTATTAAATATTTGTTGTTGCCAGACACTGTTATGGGCGCTAGAAATAGGACAGTGAATAAAATAATAAAAAAATCTTTATCCTAGTGGAGATTACATCATAGTGGTGGCAACAGGCAAAACCCCAAATATTATAAAAATGTATGGTAGGAGAAAGTTGATGTTACTGAGAAAAATAAAGCAGGGGAGGGGTGATAGGGAAGTGTTTTAAATGGTTGCAATTTCAAATAGGATTGTTAGGGAAGACTGCTCTGAAAAAAGGAACAGCTCAAAAAACTAAAACAAGTGAGGAAATGAGTCATTGGATTTCTGGAACAAGCTTGTTTCAGGCATGTGGGGCAAGTGGAAAGTCTTTGAGGTGGAGCATGCCTGGCATGTTGAAAAAGCAGCCAGGAGTCTAGGGTGGCTCCCACACAGAGAGCCAAGGGAGAGTGGGTCAGTGAGGTAATTAGGCCCACCTCATGTCGGGCCTTATCAGCTGTTCTAGAGAGGTTTTAGATTTTCATTCTCAGTGAGATAGGAAGCCATTGGAAAGTTTTGAAAAGTGACAGATTAATGAACATTTTTATAAGATAAACTTGAGCTGCTGTGTGGAAAATATACTTCTAGTAAGGTAAAGATAGAAGAAAGCTTGTTAGTAGGTTATTATACTGATCCATGTACACATTACTGTGGCTTGGATCAGGGTGGTAACAGTGGAGGTCCTGAGATTCTAAATTCTTTTTTTTTATTCAAGCACTGTGTACAGTCAGAAGCGCGGGAGGGTGAGAGAATTCACCAGAGCCAGAGCGGGGAGCAGAGCAGGCAGAAGGACCGAAGCACACTGCTGAGGGGAGCAGCGGGCGGCAGGAGAGGTCTGCGTGCCATGTGGGTCCCTCCTCCAGTGGCGGGGAGCTGCCAGGGATCGAACCGGCGCCGCAGAGGCTGCGGGCAGCTTCGCAACCCAGCGCTCAACCACTGCGCCACCAGGGAGGCCTGGTCCTGAGATTCTAAATCTATTTTGAAGGTAGTTCTGATAGGGTTTTTTGGTTAGTTAGTAAAATAATATAATTATTTTACTTTGTAACATTTTCATTTACCCTTATGTTCTCAGCACAGTAACATGATAGATGGAGTATAGTAATATTGTTCAGTAAATACTTTTTGAGTGAATGATTGAATGCTTATTTCTGGAAAGTTGCAGCCAAGAAACCAGGTAAAATGAAAGACAGCATAAAGTGATCATCTAAAAACAGAGGCAACAGTGCATTCTTTCAAAGGAGTATTCTTGACCAGGATGTGGTTGCTTAGAAGACAGCTCTTTCATCAGTTAAAAAAAATGAATGCTTTTTCTTCACTTTCATCCCCTGGCCAATCTCCCTTTAGGACTGTTCTGACAAGATGATATTAATGACAGTCAATATTTGTTGGATGTTTTCTTTGTACCAGGTGCTATGATAAGCACGTCACATTATTATCTCATTTAATTTCTTGTGGAGACCCATATGAAGTAGGTGTTTTGTTATCTCATTAACAGATGAGGAAATTGAAGGTCATACAAATGACTAAGAGTGGTGTGAATCCAGGCTTTATTCCCAAGCTTAGCCCTTAGCTGCTACCCAGTCTTGATGCTTATTTTATTTTATTTTTTAATTTTTATTTTTTAATTTAAATTTTATTTTTATATTCCCCATACAATTACAACCCCCTTATTTTGACCCCAATCTTTCCTTTCCCTGCCCTCCACCCCCCATAGAGTGTCTCTGGTTCATGGTTGTTTGTTGATTTTGATATTGTCTTTCTTATAGTTATTCTTTTTCCTGGTCCCTTATTTAAGTTTTCTAGATTCCTGCTATGAGTGAGACCATCCGGTATTTTTCTTTTTCTTTCTGGCTTATTTTGCTGAGCATGATCCCTTCCAGCTCCATCCACGTTGCTGCAAATTGCATGTGTTTATCTTTTTTGAATGCTGAGAAATATTCCATGGTGTATATGTACCACATCTTCTTGATGCTTATTTTAGAACCTTGTTTGCAATCCTTCCTTGTTGTGAAATGATTTTAGTGGCTAAAGGATTATCCTAGCCTCCCAGTTCTTTAGTGTTATCAATGCCAAAGGTCTCTGTTCTTTTTTCTAGTTACTTCAGCCAGTGGTGGCACATTCGGTCTTATGATTAGTCAGAATAGTTTCACCAGAACTGTTAAAACTCTATCTCCCACATTATTACTGTAACTGCCTGTCCTCTCAAAAACTTACTTTCTCATATTCTCACTATCAGAGTCCTTTCTGAGTATTTCAGATTCTTAATTTCCATCTTTTCTTCTAGTTTCTCAACCTTTCCTGGCTTCATTTCCTTTTCTTTTAATTATACATTTAAAAACAGTTCATAATGTTGAGTATCTCAGGCACTCTACTAAGCATTTTATATACTACTCAATAACTGTAGAAGAGTAAGTGCTGGTATTGGCTACATTTCATAGACTAGGAAGCTGACATTTGGTAAAGTGGTTCCTTAAGATCACATAGTAAGTATTAGTTAGACTCAAATCCACATATACTTTTTGACACCAAACCTCATGATGTTATAACTTATTGTCTTCATTTTATTTACTTTCTCCCTGGTGCTCCCAATCCTTATATTTGCTTCTCCCTCTGCTGGTCCTATCTGACAAAACCCCAGAACTTAAATCAGTGAAATAGCACACATTTAAAAATATAGATATTGTTCATCATAGGGAATTTGGGAGATTGTTTTAAAATTATTTTATTTGGCTCAGAAATTAAAAGCAGGGGTCACTTGGGAATTATGGGTGTGGGGGGTGAGATCTCAGGATAGGGGAAAATGGTGAAGACTAAAAATTGCTTTCATTATAAGCATTTTGTTGTTTAACATCTCATATCACATAAAGGTATTTGTTATGCCTGCCAGTCGTTTCTCCATCTAAAATAAAAACTAATTTGCTAATTACAGTGTGCAGAGGTAGAAGGACAAAGTATCATAAAGAAAAAGAGCAGTACTCCAAGGGAAACAAGTGATGACTGTGATATAATTGAACCAAAGGAAATTTACAGCATAAAGTTGGGAACTAATTTTTGAGGTCCTACTTTGGATATATCTTTCACTGTTAGTACAGTTACTACTTGAAAATTGACTTACATTACTAAAAAAAAATATACTAATTACTTTCCAGTTATGTCTATTTTTATCATCTTTATTTTGTTTTAGAGTTTTTTTTATGTATATCCTCCTAAAAGTTGTTATTTCACAGGGTTTCATCTGTCCATTATGTATGAAAAGATGCATAACTGCTATTGATTTGTCGGAGCATTACCAGAAAGTACACGCTGAAAATGAAACAAGAGGACAGGAACTTCTTAATGACTCCAGTGTTACTGTGGGTCTTGTATATTTTGTTTTAGCAGCTTGGTTATGGGTTGCTCAAAATAGCTTTGTTTTTCCTTGCCTTGGTGCTGCTTAACTCTTTATGCTACGGGGAATATGGATTACTTTAATTATGCATGCTTTAAAAAAGGTTCAATAAGGAAGAGAGGCTCTTGGGAAGTCAGCTTGGTTTCTTTTACTATTTGCATCTATCATTTTGTAAATTTGTAAGTGAATATAAAAGTTTAATATTTTTGCATAACCTTTGCCCTGAGATCTGGACTGTGAAGTGATTGATGTATGTTAATGTTTGTAAATTATGTCTTTGTTGTTAATTTTGTTAATTTTTAAATGAATGTATTAAAATGTTATAGGTTAAAATGCTTTACTTTTATAGAAGGAGGACTTTTCATATGAACAGCTGCTGTCTCTATATGGAAAAATATACATTATTAGAATCTGTGTTTATCACTATCTCTACCTTTGTTTTGACTCCCCACACCTAAGGGAGGTGACAGAATGAAACATATTCTTCATTAATAGTGCATCACTCAAATTTTTCTCGGTAGTTTGTGCTGGTACATATCTAAGGTTGAGGGCCAGTGAGGGGAAGTATCACCCACTTTTAGGTTGGAAAAAATTTTAAGATGATCATGATATATAGATATCCTTTTAAATATCTTTGTAGTAGTCTAAAAATGCAGAGCATAGCATTTGTGAGTTTTTTTCAAATCTTATAAAAAATGAAGCGTTTTGTAGTATGGAAGACAAAATAAGCTTTCTCTGAGTACAACTGTAAGATTATAAGAAAACAGTCTAACCAAACCTTCACTTATTTGACATATTACTAGAGTACCTTAATATGCCAGTTATTTTGAGGTAGGTATAAAGGAGATAAAATGATAAGACATCTAAGACATGATCTCTACCCCAGGAAATTTCTTTAATTAATATTTGTATAAAACAATGCAATAGCTAATTTGGCTTGAGGGGATCTCCTGAAAAAACTGAACGGGCAGGCAGTTAAATTAGACATTCTTTAGGGTGATGGGGAAAGTGCCTGCATATGGGAGAGCACCTGTTCTACTAGCTGGAGTAGTTTGAGCAAAGATGGAAGCATAAAAGAATCTTGGAACTCTGCTTAGCATTTACCTGTTATCTTCTTTCTAGAACCTGTGAGTCATCTTTTATTAATTAGGTGTTAGTTATCAAAAGTGACAATTGCATCTACTTGTCACTTAGATAGGAACTTTCCTTTTAACTGGAAGGACACTTGGTACAACAGGGATATCATAAGTATTAAGTTAGGTTCTTAGCTGCAGTGTCTCTTATTTTAACTATTTGGTTTTTTTTATTTTTTGTTTGCTTATTTTTACTATTTGTTTGCTTACAATCCTTGTGTGGAAATTATTGAAATTAGCAACTTCAATCCCCTTGTTTAGGAAAAATAGAGGAGTCTTTAATATTCAGAATTAGACTTTAATATCCAGAATTACAATGTCTGTGAACTAAGAAGATCATACACTCTGTTCATGTGACGTCCTTCAGGCACTTATTCTGAGCTTATTTTAAATGAGTGATGTATTTTTAATAAATAAACTTTCCCCTTTAATCTGCCCTTATCATCCACAGACGGCTAACATTGCTAGAAATGGCATGCAAGTAGTTTTTAGAAATGTTTGTTGAAATGCAAAACTGGGTGTAGGAAAAACTACATAAAATGTGGGTACAGCAATTAAAGAAGCTTGCCAGCTTTAATAGAATGGAAGACATCCATTTGCTGATTATATTTATGCCCTTGAGACATCAAACAGGTTTAATATATATTTAAGAAGACAAGGAAGTACATGTGTACTTTTGAGAGATTTATTTATATAAGAAATGTCCCTAAATTCAAGTTTTATGTCAGCATGCAAGCTCTAACCACATGGAAAATTCACTTAGGTAGAATATTTCTATAATTAAATATATATCACTGAATTTCTAAATATTTGGAAGTCATAAGGATGTATGGCATACCTTAATGTGATCATTAGCTTTCTGGATCCTTAGGTATCTAGAGCCAAAACCTGGAAGTAGAGACAATTATCAAACAGCCAAAGTTGTGAAGATTAAATAGTATAGTTTGGATCCATATTTTCTGAGCAACCCTATAATTTGCCTTCTAGTTACTAGTGGAAGCTGAGACACAGAAATGATGGACTAAGTATTATAGGGGTTCATATGCTGTTGCACTCAAGGCATGTTGGCTAGTGTGGTCCAGCAGTTATTGGGTAGAAGTTATAGGGTGTCAAATTAAGTGTAAAATAGAACAATTATGGAACATGATGGTAGATAATAATGGTTGTGAAGAAAGAGAGCATAACATTACATAGATTAACCCACTGGCTGGGAGCATTCATTCAGCTGATAATGCTAAATGCCAAATATCTCTGTAGCCTAGCGGCTATCTCTGTTATTTTGCTGTCCATAGCACATTCTCAGTTACTACTGTCTATGCTCATTTCAGGAGTTTCTTAGGGAGTCATTGTGTTCATTTACCTGTCATCCCCCCCTGCCCTTTACTCTGGCTCAGTGATCAGAACATAACACTTTTTCCCATATGCAGTGTGGCTGTGATTCACACCTCTTCCTGCACTTAGTTCGTGTTTCTCCACTTGCTTTGAATGTCTTTCTTTTCTCCCTCACAAGTAATCTCCTACTCATTTTTTAGTACCTAATTCCAGCGTCACATACATATAAGAGGTATGTATCTGTACTTTTTGTACAACATTAATTGCTGTCATAGGCAGATTTGGATACCTCTTCTCTTTTGTTCCCCATAATTCTTTATGTATATGTACTTGTTATGGCTTTGGTATGTTTTGGGTTACATGTGTATAGCCCCAGTTCTTAGTGAGCTTTGATTCTTTCACATAATGTGCATAAATAATAAACGAGGGCGTGCTATTTGTATGGCACCCAGTGAAGGAGCAAAGTTTTATTTATTTATTTTTTTAGTTTTTATGTATTCAGAGTAGTTAATGCTTAGCTCCATCAAAGGGCTTTATAATCTATAAGCTGTCAAAGATCTGTGTTTTCACCAAATTTTACACTGCCAGGTTCATTGATATTTTATTAAATAAACATAGGTTGTAAAAAATATATAGTGGGCCTCCCCTGGTGGCGCAGGTTGAGCGCTGGGCTGCGAGGCTGCCCGCAGCTTCTGCAGCGCCGGTTTGTTCCCCGGCTGCCGGCCAGGGTCCCACACCCCACACACACAAAAAATATATCTATATAGTATGTTTGAAATAGCACTGTAGTTATTGGGAAGACATAGATGTAAGGCTTCAGTGTATTGTGTATTACAGTGAATGTAGAAACATGACAATCTAGTGAGAATAGTATTTGAGGGAAAATATGATTTAATGCAAAGACAGGGAAGTGTGAGATACCATGATGTGTTCGTAATAACATCGTTACTTTAGTATTGTTGAAATATGTAGTACAGAGTGAGAAGTGTCCAGAGATCAGACTGAATAGGTCATGTAGTCATGCAGGATGTTGTATGCCATAACCATGTAATAGTTTTGGAATTTCTTGTGTTTTTCATACTTTATGGAACGCTGCATTAATTTTAGGCTTCTGCAGTGTTAATCTTAGGTTAGCAAGGAAATTTATGACTAGAATGCTTCTTAGCTGTTATACATACTCTTTGGTAATTATGAGTTATTTGCTCTATTACCTTTTTCCTCAGTGGTCAGAATGCTTCTTGTTCTTAACCTTTGCTCTTTTTCCTATGAAATAGATTGGAGAAGATGTATCTTACAAATGAGGATATTATGGGAGAGGGATGTTATTCTAAGTCTTTAAGACTAGTCTAGATTAGAGCTAATTTTTAAGATTAGAATTCAATACTCTAGCCATTAATTTATTCAACCAAAAAGATTGTTGTGAGGGTTTTCTTTATAGTTTGTTAACGTCTACTGTGATAGACTGTGATGTAGGTACAATACCAGAATTTGATCTTAATACCACAAATTATAATTTTCTTAATGACATCATTGGTGTGGATTTGATATTTGACTATTTCATAATATACAAATTATTTTGCTATATTAAATACTATTTGAAACCTTTTCCTGCCTCTTTCTGTAGGGTTTCATATGTCCCCAGTGTATGAAATCCCTTGGATCTGCTGATGAACTTTTCAAACACTATGAAGCAGTTCATGATGCTGGTAATGACTCGAGTCATGGAGGAGAGACTAATCTTGCTCTGAAGCGGTACAGTATAACAGTTTTGAAGTATATTCTGTTATGAATATATGTGGTGCCATTATTTAATCATGAATAACTTGTGAAATCCGTAGTGTTTTTAAATCTGTCCCCACTTATTATGGTCTTCCTCCTTTATTTTTATATCCTATTCTGCCCTTGACCAGCAACTATCTCTGTCTGCAGAGGTTGTCTTTAATGAAAACTGTGAGTTACCAAAACAACATTAAATTATGCTCAGCATATTCTGTTTAATAAAGAAATCTTGTGCTTTGTTTAGAAGATTTTATAATAAGTTGTTAAAACAATGTATTTAACTAGGTATTAAAAAATCAATCTTTTACAATTACCAACATAACTATTAGCACATATACATATTCTACTTCTTGCCAGTTTTACCTGACTGTTGAGAATTAAAGAAAATAAAATGTAATTACATGATTTTTTCCAGCTATTGGTGAGGACTCTTGTCTTATATTCCCAATGGGAAAGAAAACTTGAATTCATTATGCTTTTTTTTTCTTAAAAAAAAAAAAAAGTTTCTCACTTAATATGCTGTAACACAAAAAATAGCACGTAACAGAAAAATATTATGACCATATAGCTTTGTGATTTATAGATAATATAGAACTATAAAACATGGTTTTTTTAATTTGTTTAAAATATGTGAGACTATCCAATGCTTTAGGAAAGTATGACTCTTCCCTTAAGCATGACTATTAATGCTCTTCAGTATTTCATGTGTTAGTAATATTGGATATTAATCTTTTGTCATCTTTAGGAAATAGATACTTGTTAAGTCACATTTTAAATGTTTTTATATTAATATCAACTTAGCAGAGTTGCTTTTCCAGCTGTGTATTAGACAATGCTCAATATATGAGCTTTCAACCTAAAAACATCCACAGCCTACCCTTGCTGTTGCTTTCTAACTTTCCATTCCAATTTTAGCTCACTGAAGCCTGGTTTCTGCCCTAACATTCTCCTAAAACTGCTCCTTCAAAGGCCACAAAGCTGGATTATTTTCAGTTCTTATCTTATTTGACTTTGGTTTTGGCAATCTATTACCTTGTAACAATACACTTAAATTTAGTGGTTTAAATTGATAAGTTTATTACATCTCATGATTCTTTGGGTTGATTGGATGGTTCTTCTGTTTTAACTGTTGTAGACTGACATGATGGGAAGGCCAGAAGGTCCAATAAAGCCTCACATTCATGATTGGAGCTGGTGTTGGGTGCTGACTAGGAGCTCAGCTGGGGTTATATGCCAGGACCCTCTGTTCTCCTTCATTTGAGCTTCTTCTCCATGTGGCTGCTTGGACTTATTCACAGACCAGCAATTGGGTTCTAAGAAAGAGCATTCCAAGAAGAAAGAAGCATACACTACCAATCTTCTTAAGTCCTGGATTTAAGAGTGTCAGAGTGTCATTTCTATCACATTATATTGGTCACAGTAACCACAGGGCTACTCAGGAGTCTGAGGGCCAGCTCAGATTCAAGAGGCCAAGAAATAAACTCTCAATGGAGGAATAGCTTTTGCATTTGGAAGGGAAGAATTTGAGTATCAACCATCTCTATAGACTGCCATAATCTCTACAAATTTGGTGCTACCAAATTTTTCTCTTTTTCTTTTAAACTTTTTTGAGACATCATACCATTATGATCATTTTTTTTTTTAATTTGTTTGCTTCTCCTCCGTGTATTCTACCTGAGAAGTATCCACATACATGACTTGCTCCTAAACTACATCTCCAACCTAGAATTATCTCCCAAGTTACCTACTAGATATCTTGACTTAGATGTTCCAGAGGACATTTTGAAAACAGGGTTCATTATATTTCCTTTCTACTATTATTTGGTGAAAGGTAGCATTATCTTTTCATCCAGTTACTAAAGCCAGATAATGATGTGCTCGTTTTATTTTATACAGGTTGTTTTGTATGTTATACATATTAAAAGATTTTTATAGGCAAATTATTTTGATAAATTTGTTAAAATAGCACTTTTTATTTTTTATATTTCTCTACTTTATCTGTTATGTTGTCTTTTTCTTTTTTTAATCTTTTTTAGTTTATTTTCAAACAGTACTTTTTTTTCTTACATTATTGTTGGTTTTTAGACAGTATTTGATTTCTCCCCTCAGGTGTAGTCCTCATAGTTCTCCCACCACCATAGCACCTGTGATCTAGCACCATAGTCCCTTGTGCTCTTTCTGCCTCCATTTTGATCCCTTCCCCTCCTCTCCTGGATACCTTACATCTATGGTCAGCTTACAAGTTTTGTCTTTTTCCTGACCATTTGTTTGCTTTCTCTATATTCCACATATAAGTGAAACCACGTGATACTTATCTTTTTCCTTCTGAACATATTTCATTTAGCATAATCCCTTCTAGCTCTATCCATTTTGCTGCAAATGACATGAATTTATCTTTTTTGATCACTGGTTAGTATTCCATTGTGTGTATATATATAGATATATCACATCTTCTTCATCCATTTATCTGTTTGGGGCCATTTAGGTTGTTTCCATATCTTGGCTAGTGTAAATAGAGCTGCAATAAATTTGGGAGTATAGATTTCCTTTTGAATTGGTGTTTTTGTGTCCTTTGGGTAGATTATGCGAAGTAGAATAGCTGGGTCATGTGGTAGATCCATTTTTAGTATTTTGAGGAAACGCCACACAGCTTTCACATAGTGACTAGATACCAGTTTATATTCCTACCAGCAGTGTAAGAGGGTTTCCTTTTCACTGTATCACTTTAAAAAGATTAATTGGAGCAGTTGAACTTACCCAATTCGAGATTGAATTGAAATTATTTCCTTTTATCTTCCGTGGAATTTCATTTAACTTAACATGAACCATTCAGTTGTAATGTTGGAAGATTAATAAAAAGTTGGGATAACTTAAAACATACCCACAATTTTTCATACATACACATGTAGAGATTAAGTATACTACAGTTGGCATTTGGTTTCCACAGATCACATTAGTTCATAAGACCACGTATACACACAGAACAGAGAAATAAAAACTATTGAAAATGTCACAAAAAGAAAAGGCAAATTTTAAGAATCAGCAACAGTAACAGGTATCTATTATCTAATTTTCTTTAGTATTCAGAGATTAAAGACTTCATGTCAACATTTATCTCATCATGATGTCCTCTTCTATATAGCAGTGTCTCTGTTTTAATTTTTTCCCCAGTTTTTTTGAGAAATAATTGACATAGATCACTGTATCACTTTAAGGTGTACAACATGATTTACTTGTATATGAGGTGATTACCACAATAGAACCATCATCTCATATAGATACAATAAAAAGAAAATTTTTTCCTTTTGCTAACAAATCTTTGGATTTATTTACTTAATTTGTTTTTATTTCTATCATAGAACTGCTAATAGCTTATTGCTTTTGTTTACATTATTTACTTCCCTCATTAGACTAAACAACTTAAGAGTGTGGTGTAGATAACAACTGTCTGTTGAATAGGAAAGAATTCTTTGCATATGAATGGCTATAGAAGGTAGAGGACTCCTTTCTCCATCATTTACATTTCTCTTTGCTGGCAATTTCCTTTTCTCCTATTAACTATATTTCACAGATGGAAGATGACGATCTGTTTATTCTCGATTCCTGCTCCCATCCTAGAAAACAGTTCTCCCATCAATATGTCCCATTATCTTTTATCCTTGCGCTGGTCTCTTCTAGGTCTTCCCTGTTATTAGAACTAATCCTCTTCTGTTCTTTTTTTTTTTTTAATATGAAGATTTATTTATTTATGCTTATAAGAACTGAGGTGTAGGCCAGAGGTATGGGAGTGATGGTGAGAGGATTCACCAGAGACAGAGTGGGGAGAACAGGTACATGTACTGAAGTACACTGCTGAGGGGAGCCTCAGGTGAGACAGGAGAGGTCTGTTGCGCCATGTGGGTCAGCTCCCTGGCTGGCCTCCAGGGATCGAACTCATGTTGCAGTGGCTGGTGAAAGCTTGATAGCGCTGTGTTTTTAACCCCTCACCACCAGAGAGGCCCCACTTCTATTCTTCACATCCTGAATTCATTTGAGTATTCATAATCCCCTCATTTCAGTTCTGTATCTTCTACCATGGCAGCTATTGGTAGTCACATGGAGCAAGGAGATTCTCTTTTTCTGCTCTTCATGGTCCAACAGGGGAAGATGTTCCTGATTTTTAGAATTGTTTCAAATGAATTTTCTCATGGGATCTCTCACCTGCATTAGGGGGCTTAGAATGGTTTCAGCTCATCATTCTTTGACATGACTGGCTCTTTGTTGAGGAGAACAGAATTTGAGAGGTTTCTGGCAGGAAAAAGCATGTCACACTCACGGAACAGAAAGTAGCCAATGTCACTAGAGCTAAGTAAATGAAGTTGGGAGTGGGGGAGGAGAGTGACTAGGCAGCACTAGATTGTGAGTTTTTTTGTTAATGAGTTCAGATTTTATGTATCTGCAATAGGAGGTCATTGATGCATCTTTTTGCTTAGGCACTTGCTTCTAGTGCAGGCATTTGACAAGTTTTATCATTTTTATGATAAGGTGTTTTTCCAATTATAAACAGTGAGCTCTAGGATTAAAATTATTTTCTAAGGATTATATATATGTCACTATATATACACAATTTAGAGCAGTTTTTTAAGAATTGAGGAAAAATAGAGTATTAATACATAGTCACGAGCAATGATTTGTTATAACTGGATTATTAAATAAAGAAAATTATTAATTCCCTTTTCTCACATATATGTTTAGAGATGATATAACACTACTTAGACAAGAGGTTCAAGACCTACAGGCTTCTCTAAAGGTAATGTTATAAATGATTATACTTGTTTATTTTCAGTGTTTTTGATAGTAAATCTTTTAAAATTTACTAACTAAAGTTTTTCCCTTAGGAAGAAAAATGGTACTCAGAAGAATTAAAGAAAGAATTAGAAAAATTTCAAGGGCTGCAACAGCAAGTAATTACTTTTAAATACTTGACATGTGTTTGTTAATAGTTTGTTTTATTGTTGGAAGTTAAACTTAATACTTTTATAAATAATTTGTTTTTCTGTACTTAGTAGCCTACATTGTATATCCTTTGTAATTCAAATAAACACAAACAAATGTATGGAAAACTTAGATGTAACTTTTTTTTTCCTTGGTTGAAAAACTGGGGTGTAGGCCAGAGCTGTGGGGGGTGAGCAGGAGCAGAACAGGCAGATCTACTAAAATACACTACTAAGAGAAGCTGCGGGTGAGACAGGAGTGGTCTGCTGTGCCATATGTGGGTTAGCTCCCTGGTCGGGGATGGAATTCAGTGCATAGCAGTGATAGCACTGAGACTTACACCCTAGGCCACCAGGGAGGCCCCAGTGTAACCTCTTAAATATGCTACATTAAAAATTAGGCTGGAATATAGGGGAACCAAATAAGACATCAACGTAAAAAAATAACAACAGTACAAAACACAACAAAGCAAAAACAGACAATTATAAACCAGAGACATCCTGCTGGGGAGGAGGAGGGAGAGGGATCAGAGAGAGGTAGGGAGGAGCACAGGAGACTGAGGTGATGGTGCACTGGTGTATTGGTGGGAGAAACTCTATGGGGACTACACCTAATGGGGTGGAGGAAGCAAATATTGTTTAAAAATGAACAATGATGAAAATTAATATAAAAAAAAGAATTAGGGGGATACCGACATGGTGCAGCAGAACTCTCCTGTCTCACCCACTGCTTGCCTCAACAGTGTATTTCAGTCAGTCTGCCTGTTCTGTTCCCCACTCTGTCTCTGGTGAATCCTCTCACCCCCCGCATCTCTGATCTGTACTCCAGCTCTTGTATGCATGAATAAATAAATAAATCTTAAAAAAAAAAAAGAATTAGTTACCTGGGAGTTAGTTATTTTTTTTAGACCAGTTTACATTATTCTGATTTTCTGACTATATGCCTAACTAGTTAAAAAATACAGTTTCAAACAGTGGTGAAACTCTTCAAAGCATTTGTGTTTGTGACAACTGGAGATCACTAAATTGCCTTTCAGTAGGGGAAAAGCTATAATCAATATTTGTAGTTTATACTAGCGAAGGTAATGAACATGGAAAATTGTTGTAGTAGAAAACTATTGTAGTTTAAAATCTAACAGTGTTAGACTTTAAAAAACAATAGAAATACTTACATGGTACATGCCACCAGACACATATAATTCTGTTACTTTACATAAGAATAATAAATAGAAAAAAATAGGAAAAATCTTAGTGGTGTCAAAATTGCTATCACTGAGTGAGATTCACTTGCTATCTTAGAGTCTATAGTTTAATGTATTTGTTGAATAAATGTGACCAGTTATGCATTTTGTACAAAGTTACATTGACTTTAATACTCAAATTGCACAAAGATTCATAGAATAATCAATTTCACCAAACCATATATAGTTTTCACTTGTAAGAGGAAAATGGATGCCCTTCAATAATCATTCTGATGTTTTTACAAGTAATTAATGATTTCTTAGTACATTGGAACTCTTTTGCTATTTCATCAATATTGTCCTTTAGAGTAGGAAAGAAAAGCCAATGAATGGGCAAGTTATTACGACTCTGTTTTTATAAGTGAGGATGCATTAAAGGTGTTTTTATTAGTTTAAAAATATTTATAGTTCATTTACTCTTGTTTTACATAAATGCCATTGGCAATAAATCAAACATGGGCTGTATTATTTTCTGTACTTGAAAAGAGAGAGGAAATTGTTTATTTGAGATGATTATATCACATTTTACAAATCAAATTCTTCACAGTACAAGGTATAAATTACTTTTGTAGGAAATTTACCTTTGGGGAAAATGTATTTTAAATATTGATGATTTTTAGTAATTAGAAAAATTTATTTTTTTATAAGATTTATTTATTTATACATACAAGAGCTGGGGTACAGTTCAGAGATGTGGGGGGTGAGAGGATTCACCAGAGACAGAGTGGGGAACAGAACAGGCAGACTGACTGAAATACACTGCTGAGGGGAGCAGCGGGCAAGACAGGAGAGGTCTGCTTTGCCATGTGGGTTTCTCTCTGGCGGGCCAGGGATTGAACTTGTGCTGCAGAGGCTGCGTTTTTGCTTCATAGTGTGGTGCTTAACCTCTTGTGCCACCAGGGAGGCCCTGATTTTTAGTAATTAGTATGTATAAATACAGCGTATAAGAAGACAAAATGTCAGATATACTATGAGATGCCTTGGCAAATCTTTCCAGATATTTGTATTTGTTTAGAATCTAGAACTGATGAGTAGGCATTATCTTATATTGTTCCTAACACATGCAATAAATTACATTTTAGAATATTTTCTTTATTTCTTCTTTCAAAGATTATGATCTGGAATTAAAAATGTGTGCTTTAAAAAGCAGATTTTTAATAGTGATAATTTTGTGGCATGTTTTAGCTTCTGCAAAATTTCAAAAGTCATAATATTGAATCATGCCTGCTGACTTGCCTTAGAATCTCTATTTAATATTGTGATAGCTTATATAATTTATTTGTTGATTATTGAATTTACAGAATTTAAAGTGCTGTCTGTTATAGACCTGTAGTAATTTCATATGTGTTAACATAAAAAAAAAAAAAATCTTAGGCCCACTGAGCTGAAATTAGCTCTTTAGGGCTAGTCTGCTCAGTGGTTCTTTAAAGTCCTGGAAGTATGTGATCAGGCCAAAATTTAACTTTCATCAATTCTTGACATTTACCTCACAAATTGTGGCTTTTAGAGATTGAGAAATGGTATTGTCTTTTCCTTTTAATGTATTTGTTTATGTCTTTTATGTCTTTGAGGATTCTAAACCTGATGGATTGGTGGCTGATTCATCAGCAGGTAACTTTAGTTAAAGCAGTTATTTTTTCATTTTTCATATCCTTTTTTCCTTTTTCTCTGCTGACTGTTAGTGAATTTTGCTTTATAGTTATAATTTATGTCTCTAAAATAGTGAAGACAATAGTCATATTCTAAGTTTACTAAGTGCTTATTGCCCACACACTTCATAAATTAATTAAAATCTTAGTGTTTTCTCAATTCATTATATTCTAAAGTTGTTTAAAATAAACTTACAGAATATTACAGTAACATGGTTGCTTAAAAGGAAGGTAAATCTGTATTAAAGAATGATATACTATTTTTGCCTTTAATATAAAATCATGAAACCTATTACCTTTATAACTGTCTTTAATTGGAGGAATGCTCAATAAATAACCAAAATTATATTTTGAGGTGAACTGTTACTTTTCATCTAAGCCTCCTTTGTGTGATATAATAGGAGTTGATTGTAATTAATTGCTTATTTTATCTAAGACTTTGATCTTAAACTATTTCTAATTTCATTTTGCGTTACAAAATTTTATCAGAGTAGCAGAATATATTCCTTTTTGATCAGATGGATATAGGAAAATAACTGAAATGTGAAATCAGAGTAGTCTTTGTGCACATATTTGGGTGTGATGCTAAATTTTCTTTTCATTTGTTTTATATACTTATAAATTATGACTAGTATGCTTAATTTTTGAAATGTGAGAATACTCCACTTGTACTTGGATTACACTCATGTTGATAGTCTTTACTGCAGTGATTATCAATAATAATTTAGCAAGTGTAATTAACATTGTATTTGAATAATTATGACTTTTTTTTTGTAGAACTACAATCTTTGGAACAACAATTAGAAGAAGCACAAACAGAAAATTTTAATATTAAGCAAATGAAAGACTTATTTGAACAGAAGGCGGCCCAGCTTGCCACTGAAATTGCAGGTTTGTTGAATTAGAATTTTTTAGTCAAAAATAAGTCAGTCTCATTACTTTTTGCCCTGTGATATTTTATTTTATTATTTATTTATTTTTTTAAAGATTTATTTATACATACACGAACTGGGGTACAAGCCAGAGGTGTGGGGGGGGTGAGAGGATTCATCAGAGACAGAGTGGGAACAGAACAAGCAGATAGACTGAAATACACTGCTGAGGGGAGCGACAGGCAAGTCAGGAGAGGTCTGCAGTGCCATGTGGGTAGCCCACTGGCCGGGGAGCGAACTCATGCTGCAGTGGCTGCGGACAGCTTCATAGGTTGCGTCTTAACCCCTTGCACCACCAAGGAGGTCCTGCCTTATCATATTTTAGAGGTAAACTTTGTATTTTGGTGTAATAAAACATTTTATGATGGTGATTAGTGGAATTTAGTGATGACAAAATTTTTATGTATAATTTTTTGTATACATTTTTATATAAATTGAATTAGAATGATATACAGGGATGTATAAAACTGTCCTCCACAAGAGTTAACTAATATTTATGTAACTATCTTAAATTAGATATGAAGTCAAAATATGATGAAGAGAAGAGTCTCCGGGAAGCTGCTGAACAAAAAGTGACACATTTGATGGAAGAATTAAACAAAGAGGCAACTGTTATTCAAGATCTAAAGACTGAACTGGTAATTTGAAAACGATTTAATATTAGAATGTACCTTTATGATTTTCTAAATAGAAAATGAAACACATACTTTGATGAAAAAAATTAAATATAGCTTGAGTAAAATGGAGGAAATAATAATCCCAGTGTTTCTACCACCTACATGTATGCTATCTATTTATCTATCATTTTAAAATAAAAATAGAATTCTATGATACATAATTGATTACCTTTTTTTCTTGCTTTTATCTAAATATCATCTGTCGTTTTGGTAGTTTCTGTATCTGTGTCTCTGATCTGACCTTCCCTTATAAAACTGTTAACTTTTAGGGTACTTCTGATTGCAAGTCTAGCTTTTATTTCAAATTCAACAGGTATAAGGGCAAGTCATTTATTTCCTCTATAACTGTACTACTGTCATTGGTACCAAATATTTTCAATACGCTCCCTAGACTTAATAACCTTGGATCTCTCCTGGTGTTCCTCCTGTTCTTTATTTAGCATTCAATAAATAGGTGGATAAAGGAATCAGTGAACTACATTCAACTTACAGCAAACCTTAATTATACTGATACTTCATTTTTATCGTCAGTTCCTAGGATAGATATAGAAATGCAGCATTTATCAAGTATTTATGACCAATGGGTATAATCTGTGAAGGAAAGGAAAGCAGATAAAGCTCTAAGAATAATTGAGAATTTGTTATTTTGCACCTTAGTGGTGTAATACTATTAAATATCAGAAAGTGGGAAGAGGAGAGGCTTGTTACAGGTGGGGGTGGAGTAGGGGCTGTATGTCAGTGTCCAGTGTTGGGAGTTCAATAATTTACTGAAATTGTTTTCATTTTGATTTCTTTGTAGAGAAACCTTTTAAAATATGTGTATTATATTAGTTTTTTCACTATAATTTTTAATTAAAATATTCATAGCTTCAGAGACCTGGTATAGAAGATGTTGCTGTGCTGAAGAAAGAACTTGTCCAAGTTCAAACACTAATGGATAACATGACCTTGGAACGTGAGAGAGAGTCTGAAAAACTCAAGGATGAGTGTAAAAAGTTACAAGCAAACTATGCTAACTCAGAGGTAATCAGGTTCAGTGTACTTAAATGTGATCTTAACTTATTTATTGTGTACTTTTGAGTGAAGTCAGGATTTGAGATTGTTTTGAGTGACCTATCAAATAGGTATCTGTCACTCTTTAATTTGCTCTACATAATATTTTTATATAGTCAATTTGTAGTCATTGATATTTAATTTTTTTTATTTTTTGTTTTATGTAGCTAAGCACTTAAAGAAGAATTTTCCACAGAAGTGTTATTCTACTTAGTAAATGATGTTTATGAAGAGTTATGTAAATTGTATTTACTTTGGACTAGTCTGTAAGTGGTAATTTAACTCAATCTGGAAGAGGTACAGAAAGTATAACTTCATTTTCTACTCGTACATTGCCAATTTTGTTCAGAAAAAAAATATTTAGCTAAGTCTGATTTGCTAGTAGGCTTCATTTTAATTTATTGGATTATGTTGTTGAAAGAAGTCTTAAAAATAATCTAATCTAACACTAGATAGTGCATCTTCTTTTTAGAGTTTTTAGGTGACCCAAAAGTCACTATTATTCATATTTAGTAGCATATTGATTAGATATGGTGTGAAAATATTATAGATGATGCATGCTATCCTTTGTTTTACTTCTATTTCTTAACAATAGTGAAAGTTAAAGAGTGTAACACTTTAACTTTATGATACCATTCCAGACTTTCAAGTTCATGAAAATGAGGTGACTCTCCCAAGTGAGCTTCGTAGCTCAGTAACACATAATCTTGCACTTTTTCACACAATTTCAGTGGGTTCATGAGCTTTTCCAAGCCAATTTAAAATACCTAATGTTTAGTCAAAGAGAGACTGAATAAAAGAAGTGAGGGGGAGGAGGGAAACTTTCCCTTTACTCCTTTGGGTATTTCTTGTGAGGTCAAATAATCAAATTAACATCAGACAGAGTAATAGGAGAAAAACGTGAATTTAATTTTTTATGAATGGGGAGCCCACACAGACATGACGGGTCCAATGAAGGAAAGGTAAGAGGGTATTTATGCTGAGCTAAGGAATGGGATAGGAACCTGGGATTTTAAGGAGAGAGGAGATGAACTCACATGATGAAGAGTGGGCAATTCACATGTCAAGAGCAATTAGATGTTTGCCCTGCTGGGTTTTAAGATAGAAAGGCTATTTCTGGTAATAATCGTAATTCTGGGTAAGACACCCAACAGACATTTTTCTGGGCAGTTAAGAGGCAAGTATAAGTTCCTTATGAGTCTGCATGGCCGCAATTGATTGTAGCTCAAAATAATCTGCCTGCTAAAGTGTAACATCCTAGGGACGCCTATCTTTCAGAAATCTCATGAGGAAAAATCCTATTCAGATAGTGCTCATTTAGGAATATTTGAACCTAGCCGAATCCAGTCACTGATTTCTCTGCTTCAATGAGTATTACTTTTGATAAAATCTGGCTGCAAATCAGTTTTTCTCAAATTAAAAATATTTACACTCTTTTGGTTAAAACATTATTGTTATTTGAAATTTCAAAAACATAGGCAATGGAATGACTAAAATCACAATAATGACAGTTTTAGATAATATCTATTTTGAAGGGTAACCCTCTGACTTTTCCTATCTGAGAATTATGGACATATACATATAAATACTAGTTGTTAGAATTTGAACAAGGAACAAAATTGTGTACATTTACATGCAAATTGGAAAATATTTGTGAGTAATATTTAAGAACAACTCTGTTTAAAGGATTTTTGTAAATTTTTATTTTTACTCATAAATGAGATGTTATTTAAGATGAAAACGTTATGCCTAGACTTTCAAAAGAGTTGGTGTGAAAGAATTTAGTGTCTTTCTACAGTCTTCCTGTCAGCAGGGCTGATTGTAGGAAACAGTGATTTCTTGTCTAGAGATGTTCAGGGCAAGAAGAAATCCATTCTTCCCCTCATCTATTAAGTTTTCATAACTATCTTTTCAAATATTTTAAAATTAACTTAAAAATAAGGGGATTTATCCTTGCTGAGTAGTTGGTGATTTAATATTTCACTATGTCTTCAGTAAAACAAAGATTATATTTGCTGTCTACTTAATTAATACATATGTAGTGATTAGGATCTCAGATTAGTGTTAAAAAGACTTGGATCAATTTTAGGAAATGATAGCCTAACAGTCAGTATTATCCAATATTATATCAGAAGCAAACTTCCTTTTTAGAAGTCCACCTGGTTTTGGATGCTATGCTAATAAGTACTTTAAATATGTGGTCTTATTAGTTTCTTTTAACTCTGTTTAAAGTATTATGTTTGCTCAATGAGGTTAAATAACTCATTGAAGTTCATGTACCTAATGTTGGAAAAACTACGATTTGAATTCAGGTCTTATCTAAAACCTGTGTATTGTTTTCTTCTGTATCATATTATCTTCCATTTTAGGTGCTCTGATGATTGCCTTATAAGTAAATTTGTGCTATTAATCTTGACCATAATACTTACTGGAATTATTTTTTATATTTTTTAATGTTGTATGTTGTAATATTTATATTTATTATAGTATAAAATACTTTTGAGTTGTATTTCATTCCATGTTCATATGAAAAAAATTACTTTTTAACAGTTCCATCTCATTTGTTTATATTTGTCTTTATATTTGTCCATTTTCACTGACTCCTTAAATACATGGCATGTATTTTTAATTTATAAAAATTCAATTACATTTGTTAGTTAAGTATGATGGCGAATTATAGCACTTTAAGAACTTGATAGAAGACAAGTATATATGCTACTTCTTTATTGAACTTAAATATTGGCATCAGAAAAAAATAAGGAATTAAAAAAAGCTAAAAAGTCTATGGTTTATTTGGCTGATATTTCTACTTGGGGCTAAAGATATAGAATCTGGTGTACATTGTAAAAGATGACTTTATGTCAATTACTTTCATTGAATATATACCTTATGAATTCATTGATAGTTTTTGTGTGTAGGTATTGTAGTGAAATATACATAGAAATGTAGAGAAATAACACATTCTAAAGTATTTGAAAGTAATTTATAAATAATTATCTATTTTATGGATCAGAAACTGAAGCTTTGAAGGTTAAAAGTGTTATTTCTAAAAATCTACATTATTGAAAATATCAGTATCAAAGCCATAATTAACTTATATTTGGTGTCATCTTAATGGAAGTGATTTTTAAAGAATTTTATTTGTATTTGAAATAAACTCATTTGAATTCTAGTTTAAAAAACTAAAATGTTTTTAAAGATACAGACTAAGTATTATACTAATGCATAATGATTAAGGAGTATTTAAAGATCCTTTAAATGCATGTTGATATAAGAGATCAAACTTAGCAGTATGTTTGGGCATTTTTATTGTATGTTCAGTGTGTACTTTTGTCAGCTTGTCTTCCACCTTTCATCCATCATTTTATTATTTTTTTCTGCTTTCTTATGGAGATGCTTAAATTTGAGGTAATGTGTTTTAGAAAGCTTTTCATATTAGTAATGCTTTTAATATAGTGCCTTCTGTTTTCCTATGGCATTTTTGTACTTTAAGGCAATCTCAGCACTTCAAAGATAGGCACATTTTTAATAAAAATTCAATGCTGAATTTAGTAACATGACTTTAAGGAAATGCAAACTATTTTATAGGGTTTGGTATGTTTCCAGGGGAACAAATATCTATCAACAACTTTGAGATTCTTTAGTGGGTATTTTAGGTATGGGGAATATAACAGTGAATGAAGGGCATCTACTTTCATAAAGCTCATATTCCTTTGTGGAAGCCAAATAATATGTGAGTAAACCAAATCATTATAGAAAGCCAGTTAATAGTAAGCACTATAGAGAAAAATAAAGCAGGGCATGGAGGGTAGCAGACCTCATGAGGGACAATTTTAGATAGAATGATTAAGGGAAGTCTTCTCAAGTAGAATATGTGTGAGAAGAATAAGTAAGTAAGACTCAGAGAATTGGGCACAAACACTCCTAGACAAGAGGGACTGCTAACATTAAAGTCTGCAAGGCACCAAGAGCTTGACCTGTGATGAAAGTCACGGTGGCTAGAGTGGAGAGCCTGCATTGACTTTCACATACACTGATATCTGAACAGTGAACCTATTTATTTCCTTTAAAATTTTATCTTTCCTTAATCTTTTTCCTCCAAATATAAGTGTAATGTATTAAATGATTGAAATATAATGCATGTAATGATTAAAATGATTCATAGTGTGCAATCCAGGAAAAGAAAGTCTCCTGTAATTTATTCCCCTCTTACCTTTCCCTACAGTGTTGTGTACCTTTTGGTGTACAGTCTTTCCACATCTTTTCTATATAGCACGCAGCGGCATTATCTATAGTCATCATGCTGAGCATATATTTGTCTTATAACTGAAAGTTTGTACCACCTTCCTCCAATTCCTGTCCCCTACATCCTTTGCCTCCAATAATCTGTTCTCTTTTTCTATGAGATATTTGCTTTTATCTTTTTAAAAAGTCTAGTTTTGAAATATATTCATATGTTTGATATACATAACATTATAAAACCAATTATAAGAACATAACCTAAAAGTATACATTAAAACAATATATTTTTAGATTTATTTGCATTATATTTTCCTTGTTTCATTTCTTTATATTAGAATTATTAATAAGATAGACACTAGACAGATGTAACATTTGACTTTATGTTTTACAATGGTAATGTGCAATCATGATATTTTAATGATATATGCTCATAATATTTATTTTAATTAACTGATTATTTTCTTTTGTGATAAGTTAACATTTGTTGATTAAAGTATGGTCAAGTTAAAATAATCAAATTGTTCTTAGTGCTTCTATTAACATTCACAGTGTTACTGACAGAAAATTATTCTGAAATTTGAAGTTGTCAAAAATAGTAATTTGAAATAAACTTCCAGTACCTGTATCCATGTCAGTGTTACATGATCTGTTTTAAGGTTACGACTTTAATTTGAACTCAGTTAAAAATACATAAATATATAAACATTTCTTCTCTGAAGTATATGTAATGTATCTTATTAAAGCAACCTGTATAAGGTATAACTATAAAGTAATGTGACAGATTAACTTTTAGCATATCAAAATTGATATCTTTAAATGAATGTTTTCTTTAAAAGGTCAGGCTATGAACATATCTTAGACATACTTCCATTCCTAAAGATATTTTTGAGACTTTTTAAAATTAACTTTAAACTAGTTTGAAAAACACTAAAAAATAGTCTTAATAACTATGGTTATTAAGATTAAAAAAAGCCAAGCAGTTGTTTGATCATTTAGTTGCTTACATGGTTTACTAGGTGTTTTCCAAATCTTAAAACCAAAACCACTGTGAATGGATGTGAGGATATCTCACCATTGAGAATCTTTAAGAAAAAAATCTCATATTCTGGAAGGGCTTCTGAAAGAGAAATAGTGAAGATCTCTTGGCACTACTGTCACAGGAAATAGTAGCCTTCTAAGGTTTCTATTTTGAAGATGAATGTACTCATTTGTAATATGATATAGGTAACTGTTACTATGTTTATTAAGAAATGTTTTAAAAATTTCTCTATAAAGTTTATTTACTATTAAAGAGCATATACAAAGAAAATAACTTAGGAATATAAAAAATTAAACCAATTAGCTAAATATTAGAAATTCAGAGTTCTTTTATTAGTGCTCTTGTAGGAAACTATACCTAAAAACAGTACTTTGTCTCTCTGTGATGGTTGAAGTTTTCATGTATAGGAAGTTTATATTTCCAATGTCTTTCTTACCTTTCTAGTTTTATTTTTTAAATGATCAACTATTGTTTTAATAATAGATGTTAACGTTAATTTAAAAAAAATGTTAAAATTCTTTAAGGCAAATTCATGTTTAGCTATATGCCTGATCATAGAATGATTCAGATTAATGAAACTATCTTTTGTTTGGTAACTTCTTTGGACAAATATGTTCCATTAAAAGGTGATTCACAAAGGTAAAAGTCTGTGTTCTATGTTTGCATTTAAATGTTTTTAAAATAAAAAGAATATGTTGTAGAAATTGGGAGAAAATGAAGGTATAACTTGCATTTCCTCTTTAAATTCTGGAGGATTAAAGTGCAGAGTTTCAAAGTCTTAAGTAAGTTCAAGTTTGCAGGTGTGTTTTTTGATTTTATATAGATCTGATTTATTTTTCCTCAGATTTTATGATGTACTAATCATTTACGTAGCTACATAATTTTGGAAATACAACTTATATGCACGTTTCACTCATGCACCACCTAAGTTTCAAACTTGGAGTTTGATGCTTACTTCAGACACATAAAGTTGTCAACTCTTCACTTTTTGTATTATTAAATAAATGAAATGCATTTTTGAAAAATTTAAAAAGCTAGTTTTTAGCCAAAAATGACATACGTGGTAATAGCATGGCAGGATAAAGAACAAAGTTGAAACTAAGCTTATTTCAGTTTAACAATAGAAATGACAAAAATCTGTATAGTCTTAAAACCATTGGATATTTCCTTATTCACTTTAGTTTGCTCTAATTTTTTTTAGGCCACAATAAACCAGTTAAGGAGTGAACTGGCCAAAGGTCCTCAGGAAGTTGCTGTGTATGTGCAGGAACTACAAAAACTTAAAAGTTCAATTAATGAATTAACACAGAAAAATCAGGTGAGAGTTTTAAAGCTATATCTAGTGGTGAATTGATTTTATATAGCTTAAACTTTAATCTTATAGGTATTATTTATATATTGGCATAGTACTGTGTGACTTACTATGATTTTTTAAGTGTTAAGCACATTAACAATTATATAACCAATCTCTAGAACTCTTTCATCTTGCAAAACTAACCTATATACACATGAAATGACAACTTCTCATTCACTCTCTGTCCCTCCCCCAACCCATTCCACTTTTTAATTTACTATTCTAGGTAACTGCTATAAGTGGAATCACAGTATTTATCTTTTTGTCACTGCCTTATTTCACATAGGGTAATGTCCTCAAGACTCATACATGCTGTGGTAGATATCACTCTTTCCTTCCTTTCTGTGGTTGAATAACGTTCCATTTTTTGTATATGTCATATCCATTCATCTGTTTATGAATACTTGGGTGGCTTCTATCTTTGGGCTGCTGTGAATAGTGCTGCTCTATCTACATGGGTATACAAATACTTCTTTGAGGCCCTGTTTTTACTTTGGGGATAACCCAGAAATGAAATTGCTGAATTATGTGGTAATTCTCTTTTCAATATTTTGACAAAATTGCCATAATGTTTTACCTAGTGACTGCATCCTTTTTGTATTTCCAACAACTAACGCATAATAGTTCACAATTTCTCCACATACTCACTAACACTTGTTATTTCTTTCCTTCCTTCTTTCCTTCCTTGCCTAGCCTTTCCTTTCCTTTCCTGCCCTGCCCTGCCCTCCTAATGGGTGTAAGGTGGCATTCTATCATGGTTGATTTGCATTTCCCTAATGAATCAGGATCATAGACATCTTTTCATATGCTTTATTAGTTATGTAATCTAATCAGGTAGTTTACTTTTTTTGTTGTTGAGTTGTTGTTCTTTATAGATTTTTGGATATTACCCTTTACCAAATACATGATTTGCAAATTTTTTTCATTCATTAGGGTTGCTTTTTCACTATTGATTGTGTCCTGTTATAAAGGACACAACATTCCTGTGTCTCTTCTCCGCTCAGTACTCCCAACATTATTTTACTTCTGATACTAGATGAGTGTTCCACACATCAAACAGTTTTGTAACAGGGCTTGGTGTCCTACAATTTAACCCTCATCCCACTACCACTTAAGAAAACAATTGAAATTGTTGTTTGTGTCGGAGGTCCCAACTCCTTCCTCAGGATTGATTAATTTGCTAGAGTGGTACAAAGAACTCAGAAAAACATTCTACTTACCAGATTACTGGTTTATTATAAAATAGTGTATTTCTGCAGCAGCCAGATGGAAATTTTCCCTAACACTGTGCCTAGCAGATCAGGGAGGCCATCTTTGGAAGACAACTTTTCAGTTAAGTGTTTGCCAAGGAGCATTTTACAAGGCAGAGGATTAAGGGCATTTCATTTTGAGTGCTAAATGTATAAAAGGCTTGGGAACATGTGAGAGAACAGAATAATACTCTGATGTGTTGGAAAGCTGCAGGTAGTTTACTTTATTCTTCCTCACCTAGCTGTTTTGATGAACAATTGAGATGAGGTCCCTGAAACTGCTTAGTAAGCTATTAGCCATTTAAGAACAACATTATTTTGGCATTTGTTCTCAATACCTGAGCAAGTGAATAATGGCTGCTAAAACAGAGAAATTGTCTCTGTAAGAAAATATTTTGAGAGAGTAATTGAGGAGAAAATCAAAGGAACTCTGGATATTTGGGAGTGAAGAATTTTTGTTGGCTTAAATGATAATTATATTAAGAGATAGGCATAAGATTCATTTCCTAATTTAAACTCTAATAAGTTGTATTTTGAGGAGCATAAATTGACTCACGGAGTGTCTAAATTGCGTTGTGAAAAGTTTTTTGGAGTTAGAATTATAATACGTGACTACCACTTGGTGAAGTCATACTAGATTCTTTCAGCTTTAGCTTCTTCCTTATCCATAGAATATTGTCTATTTAATATTTTGTCATAAGGATTAATATAGAAATGAAGGTGCAGTTATTTCATGGACTTTGCTGTAGTTATAATATCTATCTTCAAAAACCATATTTAGCTATACTATTTTGCTCCAGACTCCATATAATATTGCATATAATATAGTTTGTATAGTTTGTATGTATAGTTTGTAACACTCAACATTACAGCTAGCCTTTTGCATGTAAAAATTGTATAGTGTGAGTGGATTAGATTCTTTAAAAACTATTTTAAAAACTACTAAACTATCGAATCTGTGCAATACACTAGATAGATTTGGGTTAATTTTTAGGACTAGTGATTTATAAACAGCCAATGGTTGTTATATATTGTCACTTTTTTTTAAAGATTTATTTATTTATACAAGAACTGGGGTACAGGCCAGAGATGCGGGAGGGTGGGAGAATTCACCAGAGACAGAGAGGGGAGCAGAACAGGTGGACTGAGGAATACACTGCTGAGGGGAGCCGCGGGTGAGACAGGAGAGGTCTGCCTTGCCATGTGAGTTTCTCCCTGGCAGACCAGAATAGAACTGGCACTGCTGAGGCTGCTGATAGCTTCACAGTGCTGCGCTCAACCACTGCGCCACCGGGCGGCCCTATTGTCACTTCTTAAAGAAGCATAACTGAGGGGGTCATTTATAGAACTGATGGGGTTATGTGGTGACTTTATAAGTAACTTATAAGTAAGTCTGAGGAAAAAGACTTACTAACTCATTTAGTGTGTTTTTAAATTATATCTTGACCAAAACTCAGTATTCGTAAGTGTGGTTACGTTCATGAAATTGAATAACTTAGATTTTTTTTTTTCTAGAAGATGCAACACATTTATAAATTAATGAATAGTCTTAATTTGGCTTACAAATTCTAAAATAAATGTTATTTTCCTAAAAGAAAAAAACTGTAAAATTATGTGAAGAAAGATTTGGAGTTAATAGTAACACAAAGAAATTCTCATAAAAAAATAATTTTCCTCACAGATAGTTTGACTCAAAAGTGTTACATTTTTCCCCTAGTCTAGGCTCAACTCTTGTCTATGGTTCTGTTGCTTGGTCAAGGCACACATCTCTTAGCTCATTTGCTGCACACTTCTGATTGCTTCTCTAAGTTTGTCTCCCATCCTATCTCTTACAAATACTTCTATTATCTTTCTGGATACTGCCTTTTCTACAGTGTATTTCTTTTGGTGATTTATATTAACTCACTTTGTCTCACTTTCAGTATTTAAAACTTTAATGCTGACTTTCCCACTTTTACCACCTTTATACCGCTTTTCCCATTATTACCCTTATGGAAATAGTTCACTGTTCCCCTATATGAAATTTAATTTCCCCCTCGTGTCTTTTTGTATAGAGCAGATGACATAAATCATACAAATACCTATGCTTTACTTCCTCTTCATCACTTTTAAAACCAAGCTCAAATTTCATTAATTTTCAGGTGATTATATCTTAATAGTTAGCCCCATCTGACTCTGCTCATTTAAATTTTTAAAAATTGTGCACTTAAGAAATTTGACACAGTATTTGCATTAATCCAGTCTTGTTTGTGCGTTGCTTTACTTTGGAAAAGCTTCTTTTCATATGTTTCATTTATTTAATATTTAATAGTCTGTTTAAAGGGCAAAAACCATGATTGTTTTCTATTTCTATTTTATCTCCTAGAACACTGAGTATGTCTACTAATTGACTCATCAGGTGCTTATAGTGGCTTCTTATCCTGGCTATTTTGTTTACAGAATTGAGTCAATATTCTGATCCATATCTTATGTGTAAAGATGTAGGGTTAAAATGTTTAATATTAATTGTAATAATTTTGCTGAGATCAGTCTTTGACATTTGATTAGGCTAGTTGATCCAGATCTCTTTATGAGTGTGTGTGTGTATTTTATTTGATAGTATTGAATAAAATAATAGAATATAAGGCAAATGATATTTTTAGGTTACTATTTTTATATACCTAGAAACAAATTTGAATTAGTATTTAACTTGTGACTCTTAAAATGGTTTTTAATGTAATAGCAAAAATAAGGAGTTAGTAGACTTAGGTACACTAGGTCAATGAATGGTATTATTATGCCAAAGTGCTTACCAATATGTATTTGCAAAGCCCCAAATCAGAATCGCAATAGTGTATTATTCAAATAATTTCTGTTTATAGAAAGGAGACTAGAAATATGTAACATACCCTGAAGAAATTAGTATTTTCATTTTATGTCAAAATTTTGTTAGTCATTCTTTTTCTTAAACTCTACTTTTAAGATATTTTTTCCCCACCACCCTATCTACTTGTTCCTCTGTCTCTCCTTCTTCTTTACCTCAGAGACCTCAGAATCTTTGATGTCCACTGTTTTTTTAAAGTGTTATATATATTATCACCTTGTCTGGTACGTAAATGTCCATTATGTTTTTATCATTCTTACTTTGCTGCAAATAATTTTACCAAATTCCCTCCATTTTTGTTGAAAATGGCTGCATTTCTTCTTTCCTAATGGTTATATAATACGCTATGGTATTATATTCCAGGATATACCACTTCTTCTTGATCCAGTTGTCCCTTCAGGGCCATTGACTGTTTCCATGTCCTAGCTATTGTAAATCATACTGCTGTGAACATTGTGGACTACATGGATTTTTTGTTGATGATTTCACATTATGTGTATATATGCCAGAGAGTGGGATTGCTGGGTCATAATGGTATTTCCATTTTTAGTTTTTAAAGGTGAATTCAGATTTTTTCCTATAATGATTGCACCAGTTTACATTCCTGCCAATCGTGTAATTGGGTTCCTTTTTCTCTGCATCATCTCCAACACTCGTTGTTGGGAGTCTTTTTTATTGTTCCATTCTCATGAGTGTGAGGTGGTAGCTTATTGTAGTTTCAATATGCATCTTTCTTGTTAGAAGTGACAAACACTTTTTCATGTATCTTTTGGCCTTCTGAATATTTTCTTTGGTGAAGTGTCTGTTCATATTTGCTGCCCATCTTTATTTGAGTTTTTTGTTGTTGTTGAATTGTATGAAGTTCTACAATATATATTATCTGTTATATATTGTTTATTTTCTCCCATTCAATAGGGTCTCTATTTAATTGTCCTGTATTTTCTTTTGCTGTGTAGAAGCTTTTTAACTTGAGGTAATCTCAATTGTTTACTTTCGTTTTTAATTCCCTTGCCATAGGGGTCAAGTCAGCAAAAATATCTTTATTATTGATATCATAGAACATATCACCGATATCTTCTCTATGTATTTTGTTGTTGCAGGTCTTATATCTAAATCTTTAATCTATTTGGAATTTTATTTTTGTGTATCATGTTAGTGAGTAATCCAGCTTCTCTCTTTCATGTGTGAACTTCCCAAATTTCCCAGCACCATTTATGAAAGAGACTATCTTTCCCCCATTTTATGGTGATAGCTTTTTTATCATAGATAGGTGTTGTAATGTATATGTTTTTATTTTTGGATTATTAATTCTGCTCCACTCATCCTTGTATCTATTTTTGTGCCAATACAATACATTTTTTAAATACTGTTGCTTAGTAAAGTTTTAAGTCAGGTAACATGACCACTATATTTCTTTCCATTTTTCTTAGGGTTGTTTTTGTATCTTGAGGCCTTTTGTGATTCCATATAAATTTCACTATTTTTTTTTGAAAATTATTGCTGGGGTTTTGATGAGGATCATATGTCATTTTAGGCTGGGTAGTAATTTTGATTATATTGCTCTCCCCAGCCATGAGGATGGGGTATTATTCCATCTCCTTATATCACTATTTAAGTCCTTTAGTAACATCTTGTCATCTTGTGGTTCTCATTGTAAAGGTCTTTTACTTGGTTAGATTGCTTCTGAGATATTTAATTCTTTTTGAAGCAATTATAAATGGAGTTATTTTCTTAATTTCTTTTGCTTCTTGTTCATTGTACATAAACAGGCTATGAATTTTTGTATGCTGATTTTATAAACTTGCTTTGCTATATTCATTTATTGTTCCTAATAACTTTTTGATGTAGTCTTTAGGTTTTCTATATGTAATATCGTATTGTCTGCAAATAGTGATAGTTTCACTTCTTTCTTTCTGATTGAATTCCCTTTATTTCCTGTGTTTGTCTGATAGCTCTGGCCAAAACCTCTACTACTAAGTTAAACAGAACTGGTGACAGTGTGCATCCTTGTTTTGTTCCTGATCTTAAGGGGAAAGTTTTCAGTTTTTCACCATTATTATTTTGGCCGTTGGCTTGTGATATGAGGCCTTTATTATATTGAGGTAGGTTCCTTCTTTTCCCATCTTGTTTAGAGTTTTTTTCAAAATGGGTGCTGAATCTTATCAAATGCTTTCTCTTTATACATTGAGATTATGGTATGGTTTTTTTTTTTCCCTTTATTTTTGTTGATATGATGTATTACATTGATTTATTTACATATGTTAAACCAATCTTGCATCCCTGGAATAAATCCTACTTGATCATAGTGTATAATACTTGTGGTATACTATTTAATTCAGTTTGCTAGTATTTTGCTGAAATTTTTGCATCAATGTTTATCAGGAATATTTGTCTATAATTTTCTTTTCTTGTGCCATCTTTAGTTTTGATCATAAGATAGTGTTGCCACTATAAAATGTACTATGGAACATTCCTTCTTGTATTTTTGAAAAGCAATTTGTTTCAAGGTATGGGCATTAGTTCTTCTTTAGAAGTTTGATAGGATTCCTTTGTAATGCCATCTGGTCTGGGCTTTTGTTTTTCAGAAGATTTTTTTATTACTGTTTCAAGTTCCATGCTTATGATTTGTTTGTTCCTGGTTAGTCTTAGTAGACTATATTAATCTAGAAATTTATCTATTTCTCCAAAGTTATCAAATTTATTGCAAATAGCGGTTCATAGTAGTCTCATGATTTTGTATTTCTGTGCTATCATTAGTGAGCCCTTTTTTTAATTTGTGATTTTGTCTATTAATTTCTTCTCCTGGTTTTGATTAGGCTAGCTAGAGCTTTATCTATCTTTGTTTATCTTCTTGAAGAACCAGCTCTTCATTTCACTGATTTTTTTTTTTTTTTGGTATGATCTTTTTGACCTATTTCATTTTTTTTACTCATCTTTTTACTATTTTCTTCCTTCTACTAAGTTTGGGTCTTATATGTTCCTCTTCTTCAAATTGCTTTAGCTGTGATATTAGATTATTTTATTTGGGAATTTTTTTCTCAATGTGGGTCTGTATCACAATCTCCCTTAACACCACTTTGCTATTTTCCATAGATTCTAGTAGCTTGTATCATCATTTTTGTTGTCTTAAGGTATTTTTAAATTTTTGCTGTAATTTTCTCTTTTTCCAGTTTATTAAGCAGCTTGTTGTGTAGTCTCCATGTATTCATAGTTTTTTTTTTCCTTATGTTTGATTCCTAATTTTATGTAAGAGGAAGTACTAGGTATAATTTGATATTTGTAATTTAACATTGACTTGTGTACCAAGATCGGGTCTGTACTTGAAAAGTGTTCCATATGCACTTAAAAAAAAGTGTATGTTTTGGATGGAGTGTTTTGTAGATGTCTATTAGAGCTATTTGGTTCAGCTCTAAAGTTATTATTTAAAGTTATTGTTGCCTTATTTATGCTTTGTCTTTTGATCCATGCATTGTTGTAAGTTGGGGTATTAAACTCCAGTAGTAGTATTGTGTTGTTACCAATCTCTCTCTTAATTTCTGTTATTATCTTCTATATCTTCGTACTCCGTCATTTGGTACAACATATATATGAATATTAGTCCTTCTTGTTGTATTAGACCCTTAATCATAATACTGTGTTCTTCTTTATCTCTGTTAGCTTTCTTACTGGGAAGTCTATTTCATCCGATATAAGAAGAGCTGTTCCTGTTTTTTATTGTTGTTGTAATTTGCATATATAACTCACTTCCAGCCTTTAACTCTTAAGTCTGTACCTGTTTTTGTTGGTTTGGTGAGTTTCTTGTAAACAGAAGATTAGACTTTGTTTTGAAACATTCAGCCAGTATACATCTTTTGACTGGTGAGTTCAGGGCATTTCTGTATCAGGTGATTATTGAGATATAAATGCTCATTGCCATTTTGTTTTTTGTTTTAATTTGTCTTTTCTTTTTAAAAATTTTTGAGGGCTGTTTGTTTCATTTTCATTATCTTACATGTTACTTTCATTATTTTTGGTTTGAAGGTTCTACTGGAGTTAGTATGTGATGGGCTATTTGTGTGACCCATTGTATGGTCTAGTTGCTGACTGATTCTGATGGGCCACATTGTTCCATTCCTCCTCCTCTTTCATGTTAAGGATTTAGGTGTCTGTTGCCTTGATAGTAATCGTTCTGCTGCTTTATTATCACTCCTGAAGAGTTACATGCATGGCTTGGTGTTGATAAATTCTTTTTTGTTTTGCTTTTTGGGAAACTGCTTACTCTTCCTCTGTCTTGAAAGTTAATTTTGCTAAGTAAAGAATTCTGGGCTGAAGTTCTTTTTCTTTAAGTACTTTCAATATCTCCTGCCAGTCACCTTGTGCTTGTAATGTTTCTATAGAAAAGTCAGTTGACAGTCTGGTTGGTTTCCCCTTGTAACTTATGTTGGTTATTCTTATGTTATATTAGTAGAGCTTAGTCTAGTGGGCTGATAATAAATCCATATACTCTTAGCTGTGATATTTTCACTGAATTTATATTGTAATATTGATGAAAATATTTAGTAGGAGATAGTACTGCTGTATACATTGTTTGAATGATTAAAATAATTTAAAATATTAGAAAAGAAAATAAATAGTTAAATTAATATTTCAGAACCTGAATGAGAAATTGTTGAAGAAAGAACTGGACTATAGTCAGTTAGAGGAGAAACATAATGAAGAATCTGTGAGTAAAAAGAATATACAAGCAAGCCTTCATCAAAAAGACCTAGATTGTCAACAGCTTCAATCAAGATTATCTGCATCTGAAACTTCATTACAGAGAATACAGGCAGAACTAGGTGAAAAAGGAGAAGCTACTCAAAAGCTCAAAGAAGAATTATCAGAAGTAGAGACCAAGTACCAGCATCTTAAGGCAGAGTTTAAACAGTTACAACAACAGAGAGAGGAAAAGGAGCAGCATGGGATACAACTCCAAAGTGAAATTAATCAAGTAAGAGATGTTACTTTTATTGACTGTAATCCTCCCTATAGCTCATTCTTCGTGTGTTTGATGGTTAGGTGATAATAATATAGTTTATTAAAAAGTACTGTCATTAAAAATGCTTCTTAATTTCACAACCTGTAATTGTGAGTCAAGTCTCATTTCTTTTAATTTCTCTTAACATGAGGAAAATGATAGTATCTACCTTCCAATATTGAAATGAAGTATGCATGAATTAGTACGCTTAAATTTTTCAGGATGGCTTCTGGCACATGATAGGTACTCAGCAGGTACTAGCTATTATAATTAATTTAGTTTGTTGACCCTTTTTATTTCAAAACTTTTTATCTTTTAACAAATTTTTCAAAATATAATTACTATAAAACCAGTAATATAAAAGTGAGATATTTTAAAAGAAGAAAACAAAATTAGTCCAGTTTTTGTAGGTAAATAATGCTTAGCTGATGAAGTTTAGTGTAAGTTTTGAGTTTCTACTAAATTTTTAAAATCTATATTCTAATTATTTCTTACAGATGACATTAAAATTAGTCAAATAATGTAGGTTTCAGGCAATCAACTATATTTACTTCAGTGGCAATAACCCTTGCTTTTGTGGCATCATTTCTATTCTTGGCCTGAGATATTTTTCCTTTTCCTCTTCACTTTGATAAATACTACTTGCTTCACTTGTCACTTTTCCAGAAATTCTTTTATGTATTTACACATCAGATTACATCAAATTCTGAATTTAATTCGTCCTAATTTATCACAATAAAATTCACTTAGAGTTAAATTAGTTTATAAGATCTTATATTATATTATATTATATTATGGTGGTAAATAAAAATTGTTTTTTTAAGTTGATGGTAGTAGTGATGGTGGTGACATTTATATATTTGTATGTACTTTTTTTCTTTTTTAAAGTTACACAGCAAACTTCTGGAAACAGAACGTCAACTAGGGGAAGCTCATGGTAGGCTGAAAGAGCAGAGGCAGCTTTCAAGTGAAAAGTTGATGGATAAAGAACAACAAGTAGCTGATCTACAGCTGAAACTTTCTCGTTTAGAAGAACAGGTAAGCTAGCATTTCAGTGAGTACATCAAAATATTGTATCAAAATTGTATATTAGCAAATTTAGTGATAGATATGAGATATCTAAGATACTGTTATCATCCAGTCTTTTGTCCACAGTTTTAATTAAATGTTTTTCTAAAATTTTAAATTGTGACATTCATTTCTTTCCAATAAAAAAATCCTACTTTGTTACAATTATGTCCACTAAAATTCTCAACAAAATGTGTGAAGACTGTTCTTTCAGTTTGAGGCAGAAAACATTCCAGGGGTAGCCTATAATAAGAGACTGGTAAAGGAAAGAGTACTTGGAAAGAGTACTTGGAAAGAGTACTTCTAATGGAATCGTGAAAAATGGACAGTTGATGAGTGTCATCAGTGACTTGCAGATAAACTTTGAATGTGCATTTAAGAATTTTACTTTTAAAATTTATGAATAAGATTTAGAATGCTCTCTTAATTAAAGGTATGCCTGCTAAAAATGGGTTACTATTATTTGGTTAAAGTAGAAGTTATCATTAAATTATATCTTTTATTAGAAGTGAACACACACTGAAAGTTAAAACCTATAACTTTAACATTATATTTTTTAGACTGTAAAACTAAATATGGTAGATGACCCCATTCTTCTCCAATAAATTATAATTATGATTTTTGTGGGGAAAAAGTTCATTGATACTGAGGTTTAGATAATTGTTACAAATAATGTATATATAATTAATTCCTTTTAGTTGAAGGAGAAAGTAACAAGTTCCACAGAATTGCAGCATCAATTAGATAAAACAAAGCAACAACATCAAGAACAACAAGCTCTTCAGCAAAGTACTACAGCAAAACTTCGAGAAGCTCAGGTAAACATTACATGAATTACTTGCCTTTTAAACAAACATTAACCAAATCATTTTTTTTGTTGAGTTATAATAAAATAATGGAAAATATTTGATTTTAAAGGGTTTTGATATTTTTCAATATGTGGAAATATTTTTCTTTTTATTGCTGTTTGAAAATTTTCTATAAAATTTTTAAAAAGTATTTATTATAAATTGATTTATTATTATAAGCAAATTATGTAAAATATTTATTAATTTTTAGATTCTATTAACTTTATTTACATAAAATGTATTTATTTAAAGTTATTATAAATAAAATTTTCTGGTTTGCTTAGTCCAGTGAAAATCAATATTTTGCATTTGCTATAGCAGAATTTATAATTTATTGATTATGTCTTTGCCTACTTCTGAATTATAATATGAACACTGAGTAGGTATAGAAAATGTAAGTAATTGGGTTAAATTTACACAGATTCTATAGTAGAGCTTAAAAAATTAAATTGGAAGTTAAATTTTTGTTATGGTAAGGGAAGAGGATGCCCCAATGTTTGAAATGAATGAATTTATTCCTTCATTCTTTCATTAATTCATTAAATGTTATGAGCACTGTGTGGCATGTGGCTGTGGTAAGCAGTGAGGATAAAGAGGAGTAATGTGCAGTGTTGCTGGCCAGGAAATGATAATCGAATGACATATAACAGAAACAATGTTGTAGTTTAAAAGAGACAGTAAGTCAGGTGCCTGTCTTTTCCTTATGAGTTTACAGAGTATTTGAAAGTCAGATGGGTAGAGATCAAAATACTGGATTCATTCATTTGTTCTTTCATTTACTTAGTCAACAAATAGGTATTGATGTCTGCTGTTAACCCAGGAAAGATTTTGCCAATATACATAACAGACAAAAATATGTTTTTGTGGACTTTAGTGAGGAAGGCAAACCATTGCAAAGAAAAGTAGGCCAAAAATACAGTGTGTTATACGATGATGAGTTCTATGGTGATGAAAAAAAAAGGAAGGGAATTAGAAACTACTTGGGGGGTTGAAGTTGGGACTGCAGTGTTGAATAGGGTTGCCAAGCAAAGCCTCTGAGTAGATGAAAGACCTGTAGGAAAGGAGGTTATGAGCCATGTTGATATCAAAGAAAAGTACATTCCAATGCCCTAAGACAGGAGCTTGTCTAAAGAATATCAGAAAGCCAGTGGCTGGAGTAGTGGGAGTGATAAAGATAAAAAGGGACAAACATAAATATCACAGAGGATTAGAACATATCTCATTGGTTATTTTGGGGATTTTAAATCATTGGAGTCTGAGCAAAGAAGTCACATGATCTGACTTACAACTACACAGGATTACTCTGACTGCTCTACAGAGGGTAGGCTCTAGGGGTACATGAATAGATGCAAAGAAATTAAGACTGTAATAATTCAGCAAAGTCATAGGGATAAATATGAATAAAAGATATAAGTCATAGGGATAAATATGAATAATACTTGCAATATAAAATAACTTACTGACTTATTAGTTGTAGCGGATGAGTGAGCAAGAGAATGAATTCCATACTGACCGCATTGGGTGAATGGTAGACAGGAGGTATCATCATAGTGAATGAGAGACAAATTGCCTTTTATAGGGAAATGTGATGAGTTAAGTTTTAGACATATTTTAAGGCACTAATAAATTACAAGTTTGGAGGAGGAGTCATGCTTTGTATATTAACTAAGAAATGTCAGTGTATTTGGGGTAAATGGAATTTTTAGGATAGATGTGATCAGCCAGGGAGAGAGTATAATGAGAAAACAGACAACTTATAGTAACCTAAGACTTCTGGGAAATACCAGCATTGCAAGAATAGTGAATAAAGGAAGAAAAGCCCAAAGAGAGAGAATGATAAGAGCGATCAAAGAGAACCTGTCGCATGGAAGCCAAACAAAGAACTGGGGAGAAGCAAAAGTTGGGGAGAAATCAGCTTCTTCAAGTGTGGGTGTGTACTGGGAATGTCCAGTATGATAAATGAAAAATGTCTGTAGATTTAACACCTAAGAAGTAAATTGGTGATCTTTTTATTAAGCATGATTTTAACAAAGTGATAAAAACAGAAGTCTGATTTTTTTTTACTAATAAGTAAATGAGAGATGATGGAATTAGGAAAGTAAATATACCTAACTTTTACATGAAATGTGACTTGAATAAAGATTAGGCAAAAAGCTCGTGGGAACTGATCTGAGAACTGTTTTTGAGACAGATACCTGATCGTGTTTATAGATTAGGACAAAGTGACTGGAAGGTAGGAAGTAACTTAGAATACTGGAAAAGGGGAGGTTCCTGAAGGAATAAGGTCACTTGATAAGAAGCTGTGTTCTCATGGATACGGTGGGTGGTCGAACATTTGAACTTATCTTCTGAGGCACATGTATCCTTTGAAGCTTGAGGGAAGGCATAAATAAAACATAATTTTTTAGGTAAGGGAGTGGAAAATCAGGGTAGATTATTTCTGAAGTTTCCTTTTTTGTGGTGTTGGGGCGCTAAAGTTTGAGATAATAATGACTGAATTTCAGATAGGCAGCATTTGAGAATTTAGAGAGAATATTGAGAGGAGTGTTTGAGAATGAAGACCTCATTCAAGGGAAAAGATTGACAAGATGATTCTGAATATATAATTAAAATTGGATTTTAGAAATTTGTAGTGGCATCCATCTATGGAGATTGAGATTTTGCGTTAACATGATTTAGTAATATAGCAGTGAAGAAAGATTGCAGCATTTATTTAAGATTAGACATTTGGGGGGTGATGTACTAAAAACTTAGGGGTGAAATGAAATGGAGAATGTAATTAAAAGAATAGTTAAATTTAGTTCATATCCATATGTGAGGTTCAGGAAGAGAAGATAGACATATGCTAAGTTTGCCGAAAATTAAGTTTAATGTCTCTTTGACACTGAAGACCGGAATTGATGTCATGAAATTGGAAGGTGATCAGAAAGTTATCGTCACAGAGTTGGATAGTTGAAATATTTCATCCGGAACAATTTCAGGTGATTACAAGATCCTGGATGTGAGTAATTGAAATGTAGAATGAGTAAAGGGTCGAGGAATTAAGGTGATGCGAATGTTGAGGGTGTGTTCTTAATTCTTTATGTATTTTGTATTTCCCAGGAAATTGGCAGAAATTGGGATTGAGAGAAAGACTAATTAAGGTCTCAAGTCTTCAGTGAATGAGGTAGGGATTTATAGATGATAGCAACACAGAGTAGAGGGTAGAATAAATAAATGGCATACTTCCCAAAGTAGCATGAAACTTTTACATGAGGGTGAGTAATGGTGGTGAAAAAACAGGAAAAGGTCAACCTCCCCTGCTTATCCAGTAAAATAGACCTTACATATCATAAAGGGTTGAGGAAAAATCAACATCTATAAAGGGAAAACCACATTTCAGTTAAGGCTTGGAAACAGAGTGACTGTTTTGGAGAAAAACTTAGGCCTTGAACTGTGATTCCAGAAGATTGGTATAGCATGTAGAGAGCAAGAATTCATTAATGGCAGGAATAGCATGCATGTGATAGCAGAGAGGTTAGTTTGCTTTTTATCATTGTGTCGTTGAAGCTTAGAAGAATGAGAACCATGTTTGAAAGTGAGTGATTTAAAATGTTTTAATATTGACACTTGAGGGCACCAGGTGGTTGCTCACCTTGTTTCTACAAGAGGGTGTTATAAGTCTTATGAGATTTGCATTGTTCTTAGTAAAGACACTCAGACTCTCTTAAAATGATTGAGGCTAAGGTAGGTCATGTAGTATCAAAATGTTAATGGATTTTAGTCTGGATGCAGGTCATTGCATAATGATTTGTGTAACATTAAGGCTGTTGGCAATGTAAAAGAAGAATCTCTTGATGTATTCATAGAAGAGTCCTATTTGGATATTGAAGTGAACTTTCATGAGTGTATGTGTGTCAGAGTACTGTCCTTTATTTTTCTGTTCATTCAACAAATATTCTATAGAATGCATCTTTGATAAATCAATGAATAAAACAAGCAAAAATCTTCATCTTTGTAGCACATACATTCTAATGAGTGGGTAAAGGGAAGTAGATAAACATGAAAATAAACCATGTAGTGCTTTAGTGGGTAAGTGCTATAGAAACAGAAAAATATTCAGGACAGAGTATTGGGGAATGGCTACAACTTTATTATAATGGTCAGGGTAGGCTTGATTATGAAGGCAATATAACTTTTGAAGTGTTTCAGACAGAAAGAGCAATTAGTACAAAGACTCTGAAATGGAAGTATGCCTAGTGTAATTGAAGAATAAGGAGGTGTCTCAATGTATCAAAAGGATTGAACTGGAAGAATAATAGGTGATGAGGTCAGAGTATTAAATAGGGATGTGGTTAATTGAAGGTTTTTTGTTAAATTGTAGTTTGTTATCAATGAGATAGATTTATATTACCAAATATGTACTTAAAATTATTTAATTAAATTTGCAATTTTAAATGTAATATAACTAGTAAAATACGTAAGATTAAGAGTTTGAGTTGTGAAATTTATCATTAATCATTTTATGTTTGAGAAATAACTTTTTAAGTTCTCTATCTTTAAGGTAGTAGTTTTTAATTCTTTACAGAATGATTTGGAACAAGTACTTCGTCAGATTGGTGATAAGGACCAAAAGATCCAGAACCTTGAAGCCTTATTACAGAAGAGTAAAGAAAATATTTCCTTGCTAGAAAAAGAAAGAGAAGACCTTTATGCAAAAATTCAGGCTGGTGAAGGAGAGACTGCTGTTCTTAACCAATTACAAGAAAAAAACCATACTTTACAGGAACATGTAAGTTTATTAAATGTATTATATTTCTAAAATTCACATTTGTTTAATGATTCTTTGTTTAAATGATTCTTCATTTGTTCTTTTTATTACTTTATAAGATATTATATATTTTTGACAATGCCATCTCATTTACCTTAGAAGTGAGTTGTTACTCTGCTGAAAGTAAGTTAACATGAATTGACAAAGGAAATCTCAGACCATGTCCCAGGTTGTAACTTAATCCTTGTCTGACCATGAGCAACTCATGCCATCTTATTATTTGAAGAGTAGAGATATTATAACTACTGCATACTTATAACATGGTATGTTATGATGTTTTAAAAAAATTGAATAAGAAAATGTATTTGTAAGAAAAAAATAAAAGTACCAATCAATTTTTAGTTCTTACTGTGATTGTTTAATATATAAACTTAGTGGTTACTTATATTTTGATAATATATATGTCTTTGGAGAATATATAGCTAATAATAATTTGGTATGTTGCCTTGCTGCCTAACATTCATGTATAATTTAAAAGGGACTTATGAAATTTAGATTACTGAATTTTCAAACAGAAAATAATTTCGATTGCTTTTTTGGGAAGAATTGTCCAATTACAGAAAGTACTTACCTTAATGAAAAAGTATTAAAACTTTAGCTTACCTCTTTTTTAGGTCAGATCGCTTATCTAATTTGGGAATTAGAGTATAATACAAAAATTATCCCATAAACTTCAAAACTAGCCTTGGTTACCACTATTTATAAGGAACTCTTTAGTTTTTGTTGTATGTCACGTGAACTAGACATTGCTTATCATACAAATATGATCTGGAAAGCCTATGGATTTTTTTCCCAAAAGAATAAATAAAGAGAGCAAATCTTAAAAGTTCTCATTACAAGGCCAAAAATTTGTAACTATATGGTGGAGTGTTTAACTAGACTTATTGTGTTGATCATTTTGTAGTATATACAGATAACTAATCATTTATGTTGTATATCTGAAAGTAATGTAATGTTATATATCAGCTATAACTCAGTTAAAAAAAGGAGTGTGTTAAAACAAATCAGTATTTTGTTTCTGGCTGTGTTAGAGTGACTGACACCTATTTAGCCCTTTTACCATAAACAATTGCAAAAGTGGAAAAGATGTGTAAAGCCTCTGTTTTCAAACATTATATACCAAGTAGTGCAGAAGTTTACTTCTTGACAGGAGAGAAACAAGTGAAGTGATCCTTCTGACCAACTTTTAACCAAGAGACATTTTTTAGGTTGTGGTGCATGTCAGAGGAATCCAAGGGAAACAGTAAACTTAGGAGTGAAAGACTGAACTTCAGAAAGATTGAAGCAGCTCAAAGTTGCTGTGCAGAGTATTAGACAATAGGGAACTTTGGAAAAAAAAAATAGCTTCAGAAATGTGCATAGGGATTCATATGAGCCTCTAGCTGAATGCCAAAACTTTGCTTTCATAAGGTGGGATTCTATGATGTCTGGTAATGGACAATTTATCAACAGTTTTAGTGTGAAAAATGAACAGAATTCACTTGAGACTGGGAGATGTTCAAGTTCTAGCCAGTCAGAGAGGAAAGATATAGGTGAAACCTTGGGGTCATTCATAAGAATGCCTAAGGTAAGAGTAAAACTAAACTAGTCCTAGAGTCACAGCTAGTATATATACATCCCACCTATTGATAGCAAAGCATAAAAGCAAACCCTGAAAGGATCCAGCTGAATCACAAGTATGTAACAGCCTGCTGGAGCAAAGTGCCAGTCTTTGAAAGCAGACAACCAAAGCAGACAACAAAGTCATAATAAATGTAAAAAATTTTTAGACTTATGAAGAAGCATAAAACATGTGAGTTAGAAGCAGGAGAAAAGTCACTCGATGGAAATAGACCCTTACATGAGAGAGGCTGGAATCATCAGACAAGGACTTTAAAACAGCCCTTCAAATATACTTATGGCTATAAATGAAAAATTATAGTAGCAATGAGAATTTAAAAGAAACAAATAGGACTCTTAGAGGTAAAAACTAAAAACAACTGAAATGAAAATTTCATTGGGTGGGTTTAAATAGATTAAGTAAAAAAAAAAATCAATGAGTATTAAGAACAGAACAGCTGAAACTGTCCAAAATTAAGCCCAGAGAGAAAAAAGGCTGAATAAAATTAGTACCTTAGTACTGGTGGGACAGTATCATAAAAATCTAACATGCATATAATTAGTGTCACTGGAGATGGAGGAGGAAAATATTTGTAGAAATAATAGCTGAGGAAATTTTTAATTTGCTCTAAAATATAAACTCATTGATTCAAGCTCAGTCAGTGTACACTAAGCAAGGAACACCAAAGAAACATCAGGTCAGTTGGATTTCATGTAAATGAAAAATGTGTGCTCTTCAAATAAAAGATAGAGATTGAGAGAAAATTTTTGCAATACATTTTTCTGACAATTTTGAATCATCCAGGATATGTACTCATTATTACACAATCAGATCAGTAATCACTTTTCTGGGGCTAGAGAGAATGGACAGTACTGCAAAGGGGTATGAAGAAACTTTTTTGGGTAACTGAAATGTTCTCTTGATTGTGGCAGTGGTTTAATGACTATAACATTTATCAAACTTAATAATTTGTAGGTGATTTTTATTTAATTATAGTTTGATAGAGAAAACTTTAAAATGGCATTCTCCAAATTTCATGTTTTTTTATGATTTTGAGATAGTATATTTACTTAATTTTGGAAAAATATGTAGTTATGAGATAACCTATCATAGAACACTCATGATGTTTAAATTTGGGTGTCTTAGTTCTTGTTATCATTTGTGACCTTCATAATTAGAGTCTTGCTTATATGGTAGGTAACACAGCTAACAGAGAAGTTGAAGAATCAGTCAGAAAGCCACAAACAAGCCGAGGAGAATTTGCACGACCAGGTGCAAGAACAGAAGGCACATCTTAGAGCTGCACAAGACCGTGTGCTTTCCCTGGAAACCAGTGTCAGTGAATTAAATAGTCAATTAAATGAAAGCAAGGAGAAGGTCTCCCAGCTTGACATACAGGTAATACTGAATTATGTAATTTTATGTGAGTTTATATGAATAAAATGCCAATTTTAGGCCATCAAATGTTTGTAAACTCTACTTCTCTTTCCTTTCCCATTCACTTACTAATAGAAAAAAATTGGGAATAATAATTAGATGAAGGCTGTCTTTAGACAGTTTATTAAGCATTCCTGTTTGGCTTTCCCACCCCCTTCTTTTCTAGCAAACTATACTTCCTGAAAATACTGGATCTTGCAGCCTTTCTTTGTTTTGATGAACTGCTTATTATTTTTGAAGTTCAAATTAACTTCATTTTATATCATTATCTTTATGTTAAATAATTTCTGGTTTGATTTTTTTGTCTCTTTAAAGGTTTTATTTAAAAAAAAATCTTTACATGGTGTCATGTATTTTAAGATATTTTTTTTCAGAGACTACGATAGCAGTCTTGTTCAATGAGTGAATCGTGGAATGGGAATTAAGACATATTTCTTTCTCCAGTCTCCTCACTGCATTTCTAGATCTTGATTTTGTTTATTTTGGGAGAATAATTCCATCAGACATAAGAAATATAATAAAATAGCATAACTGGTATACTTCTTACAAGCTGATGAACGTGAATACATATTTATTTCTTTTAAAAAATATAATTGTTGGGCCTTTCTGGCGGCCTGGGGGTCTGGGGGCTTAGCAGCTGCAACTGCTAAGATATACTGCGACAGACTGAGTTTGATCCCTGGGCAGAGAGCTAACCCACATATGGTACAGCAGGCCTCTCCTGTTTTTCCCCTCAGCACTGTATTTCAGTAGATCTGCCTATTCTGCTCTCCACTCTATCACTGGTGAATCCTCTAAGTCCCTCTAACCCCATACCTCTGGCCTACAACCCAGTTCTACATAAACAAAAATCTTACAATAAAGGAATAATTCTTTAAAAAAATATAATTGTTAGATGAGTTTTAGGGTAACCCAAATGTGGATGTCCAATTAAAGAAAAGGAGGAAAGAGAGGGAGGGAATAGAAATGAATGACTAGGGCAGTCTTGTTCATTTCGCATTGTAGGATCCTTCCCTTTACAAACAGATCACCCGCCATTGCTCTTCATCTCAGAACTAGTTCTTTTAATTAGATTAGTCACCTTAAAAAAAAATATTGCTCTCTTTATCATTGCTTATTTTTACAATAACCTCTTCTTTTTCTGTAGTTCTAGAAAAAAATACTTGTAGGTATTTTTCAGTTTATAATGCTTTTTTCCAAAAGTACTTTAATTTCTTTCTAAACTACTATTAGTCAAGGAGGTGAAATGTGTGTCTTTACCTTTCTTTCAAGAATTAAGACTGATAGTGTTTTAATAGATATTATTAGTCATATCTAGTATCTATATATCTATTTGACATATTAGTCAAAATGTAGTGACTGTGACTTTTCTTTAAATATATTAAACAAAGAATAGATGGGGTAATATTTTTTATGGCATGTGCCTTTAAATACACATTTAAATACACCCCCTGGTAGCAATACACCCTGCCTTTAAATACACCCCCTGGTGGCTCAAGGGGTTAAGACACAACCTATGAAGCTATCTGAAGCCTCTGTAGCATCAGTTCGATTCCCCGGCCAGCCAAGGAGCAACCCACATGGTGCAGCAGACCTCTCCTGACTCGCCCGCTGCTCCCCTCAGCAATGTACTTCAGTCCATCTGCCTGTTCTGTTTCCCACTCTGTCTCTGGTGAATCCTCTCACCCCCCCACACCTCTGGCCTGTACTCCAGCTCTTGTATGCGTAAAAAAAAAAAATCTTAAAAAAAAATACACAAATGTAATTTTTAAACTTTTTCCAAGTTTTGAGTCTATAATATACCTCTAGAGCGCTACTTTGAAGATATTTAATATGCAGTATCATTATAACACAAAGGTAATTCTCAGATTTGATAGTACATCATGAGAGGGCTCTATTTTTTTAAAACTTTCATGCAAAAGTTGCAACAATGCTTTTGTAGCAGTTGGCATTTTCTACTCAAATCTGAACTTACTACAAATGTGGGGTCCAAAGAAGAGCCGGTTATATAAATGCCTACATTTTTTTCCCTCCTATCAGATGCATTACTAAAATAAGCTAAACCAATGTAACTATTACTTTATCACTTCCAGTTTTTTTTACATGTTACATTATTACTTTGGAAGATACTGCTTTAGTCGAAGCATACCATATTAAAAAACCATGAACAATTATCACGGCTTAAAGTATTTCATGAATTTTTTTATTCTTTGGATGAAAAGCCATGTATAAATGAAACCAACTTGTACAAAAATAGTTTATTCATAGTCTGTTATATATATTCATCCTGTAGTATAGATTTACTATCTGTCATTTATTTTTTACTTTAAATTCAGTGTAGATGCATATATACCTTGTTAAAATCATTATTTCTTTGAAAATTTAAAGGGTTTTGAGAAAGCATTCTTTGAATTTTTCCTTTCTGCTTAAAATTGCCCCAATACTTTCAACCTTAGATTCCTAATATTCATTGCTCTTCTCAAACCACTAAAATAATGCCCTCCTTTTGCACTTTTCTTAAAATACTTTAATTTCAAATATGCATATCTTTTTCCTATTTTTTTCTTTTCATATGAGACATTAGTTTGCTATTATTCAGACACTTAAAAGTGTTTTTGGTAACCAAACATCTTCTTGCTTGTTTGATTTTATTTCTAGTCTGTCATTGAACACCTTGAATTTTTAGTGTATCATTCATTCTTGACTTTTTATAAGAATTGCAAATCAAATCCTTTGAGAAGTTATCAAGTAATACTGAGTTCCAGCTTTAGTTTGACTGTTTTGAATCTTGGAAATCTTGATTATTTTTGGAGTCATCACTTTCTTTGGTACTATTACTTATTTTATCATAAGGTGGATAAACTTTGTATTCTTATAAAAGATATAGTGGCCCTTCTCAGTAAGAAAGTATATATACCTTCTTTGATAGCAAAAGGTTACTAGGGTGTTTTGGTATCATAGGGATAGGTATTTTGGTACATTTATGAAACATTATTAGGAGTCTTCTCCGCTATTTACTGTGTTGGGTTATCACAAACATAATTTTCATTGTCTACATTCTTATTTTTTTTTTTTTGGAAAGGACTTAATTTAAAAAAATAATGTAGTGACAAAAGCATTGTGTATTCACAAGGAGGAAATCAAGAACTAAATATAAATTAAGTGACTTGTAAATTTCATTACAGATTAAAGCCAAAACTGAATTATTGCTGTCAGCAGAAGCAGCAAAAACTGCTCAAAGGGCAGATCTTCAGAATCATTTGGACACAGCCCAAAATGCACTACAAGATAAACAGCAGGTAGGGGAACCTGATGCAATTTTATATCATAACTTAATGTTTTGCTAGATACATCAGTTGTAAATACTTAATAATGAGACCCAGATTTATATAACTTTGTGAATGACTTGCTTTAACCCTTAACTAAACACCCTGAGTTTAGAAGCAGTTGAATAGCATGAATAGTAGATGTAGGAGGCAGACAGAGAAAAAATTATCAACTTTGTTTTTCATAAAGCTCAGCTGGTGTGCAGCTGTGGGTGGGCTTCCTAATACTGTATTTCTCCCCTAGACTAGACCTTGGTGTGGAGCTGAAATATTTACTCCTAGTTGTTGAATTTTTGCTTCATTCCATCAAGCACCAGTGGTTGGGAAAGAGAAACAGACTTCCACAGCTGTTTTAGTAGGTAGACTGGCCATGACCCATATACACTTAATGCTTGGAAACAGGAAAAGAGAACCATGTATTCCCTCTCAATAATAAGAATTATTTTTTTTTCTTGAAATTAAGTGGGGGCCCATGGGGATATGGCACTTAATTTTTTTCAGTACTTCTGATAAAAAACATTTCCTGTATTAGACCAAGGACAAAATGCTGTCAGATTTTTCTTACCTTTTACCAAGTGGGGATACTTTAAATTTACTTTTTATTTGAGAAGTAATACTGGTTTTTGTCCAATTTTTAAAAACTATAGAAGTACATCAGGTCCTTGATTTTTTATTTCATTTAATGTTGTTTTGTTATAATGTTGATGAGGAGTCCCAGTTTTTATGGAATAACCACATAAAGGTATAAAATATATCTGCTATCAAATGTTGCTGACAAAATTTGAAAGCAAATAGCAAGAGAATAAAACATTTTCTGAAGTATTTCTGATGAAGGGTTAATATCCTTGATATTTAACATTTTCATATTAAAAAGTAAGTGAACCTGCAATAAAATAAATGATCAAATTATATTAGGAAATAATCAAGTTCATTAATAATCAGTTGCAAATTAACACTAATAGAATATGCCCCTATCAGTGATAAAATGTGTGCAAATGTGCTTAATCAACACTGGAAGGGTTGGAGATGATGTCGAAGAATAAGCCACTATTATTCATTGTTAGTGGTAATATACATTAGTTCAACCTTTGACACTGAAGGGGAAGGAAGCTGTTTGGTAGTCTATTTCAGGAACTTTAGAAATTTTTATATTGTTTAGCTTTCTTTTTGTTCTTTACCTGGTGGGAATAATCATAGCTTTAAGGATACTGTTTGTATCTCTGTTAATGCAAAAGAAAAATTAGTAGCAATAAAATAGAATGTTTTTGTTAAATAGTGGAAAATAGAAATTTATGGATTCAATAATGATATTTTAGAATATAATGCCAAAGTTTCATGATACGTTGTTTTGTAAGAACAAAGGATGTTACAATAACAGCATATAAAATGAGTTCCTATTTCTATTTTAAGAGTAAAAATAAAAAAAATAGAAACTGGGCCTCCCCTGGTGGCGCAGCGGTTGAGTGCTGGGCTACGAGGCTGTCCGCAGCCTCTGCAGAACTGGTTCGATCCCCAGCCACCGGAGAGGGTACCTTATGGCTCGCAGACCTCTCCTGCGGCACCCGCTGCTCCCCTCAGCAGTGTACTTCATCGGTCTGCCTGTTCTGTTCCCTGCTCTGGCTCTGGTGAATGCTGTCACCCTCCTGTGCTTCTGACTGTTCCCAGTGCTTGTATAAATAAATAAATAAATCTTAAAAAAAAAAATAGAAACTAGCATCCAGAAAAAGCTGGAAGGAAGGTTATCAAAATATTGATAGTGTTATCTGTTAGTGGTAGATATAAATAAAAATTTTAATGTTATTTTAAAATATGGCATTTGAACATGGAAAATTTTTCATTATAATATAAAAATTATTTTTTATTAACCTATTTAATTTTTTTGGGTATATTTTGGCTTCTAAAATAACTCTTCCTAGAAAAAAGTTGAGAAGCTATTGAACTGTTAACACATAAACTGATTATTTCAGACTATGCAAGACTTCACTCCTGGTACTTCATATTGGTAGTTAAATATAACCACTGATACTCCTCTGTGGTCTTACCTCAAATAGTTTCTTTATTGAAGTAACATTGCATTATAATACAAATAGCTTTTAAGATAACATTAGAATTTGCAGTTTTACTTGCATCAAACATTTAGGCCCTGTAATGAAGTAAACTTTATGAAAATTTTCTTTACTTGTGCTTTTCTGTAGGAGTTAAATAAGATCACTACTCAGTTGGATCAGGTCACTACAAAGTTGCAAGATAAGCAAGAACATTGCAGTCAGCTGGAAAGTCATCTCAAAGACTATAAAGAGAAACATCTCTCTTTAGAACAGAAAACTGAAGATCTTGAAGGTCAAATTAAGGTTTGTATAAAAGAAATTGAAGTTAATCGTATTTTCTACTGCTGTAGCAATGGAAACTGATGACCTAGATGGATCAAAGATTTTTTAATACCAGAAGGGTGAAGTTGTGGTATAAAATTTTATAAAACAACTAGTAATTTTTTGTGCCTTAATTTTCAATTTCATCTTTATTTTTAATCTCTTAATTAATGGGTAGCTTTTACAAATGGAAGTTATTTGCATATATATTGGTTCCATTGTAATATGTAAGTCTTTTAAAGAGACAACCAACCAGAGAACCCTCTGTAATACAGGAAACTAATCATTTTCTTGTAAAGTCTCTTATGGTCCATCATTTTTCCTTCTCCTTAGCTCTTTATTATGTTGTTATATTTCAGATATAGGATAGGCATTTTCCTTTTTAAATTTCACATCTATACCCTTTGAATTTTGCTTCTAATTTAGTAATAGATTTAGGCCATGATAAATTCTATCTTATTATGAACAACTATGTCAAAGCATTAATTCAGTAAAGACATTAAGTGACTAAGCACATCACAGATGTTTTTTGACCCGAGTCCTTTTGTCCTTAAAATTGGAATCAGTTGAACAAAAATGTCTCTTATTACGAATATGTTACGCCTCCACAATCAGATGAAACACTTGTGTACAAGAGCAGAATCATGGGTGTGTATATGTATATATGTATATCCACACCAACATAATGTGTAAGAAGAATAATATTTACAATTCTTTTTCTTTATGGGTTTTTCTTTTCGTTATAGCAAATGATAATAGTATTGACAAACTATATATTGATTGTAAAGAATAGAAAAGGTTTTCTTGATAAGTATCAAATGAGATTTCTATTTGGGAATCTTTATTTAATAGTTGTGTAGAGCCTGTGGTATCTATTGTAATTATCAATTCTTTTGTTAGGAAGTATTCCTTATGTTTTATAGATATACTGTAATAGAAGCAATTTAGTTATAGTAAATCTCCAATATAAATATAAAATAAAACCACAGATACCCAGGTTGGCTTGTAAGATATTTAGGGTTATAAAATCATCACAACAATATCAGAAAATGCATTGCTTACATACATGCAAACTATGTATTTAACAGTTTCATTTATATGCATGAGATCGAAACTATACTGAATAGCATTCTCTTCTAGACCAAAAAGCTAAAGAAGCAAATGTAGAAATTTTTTTTAAATTGTTAACCATTCATTTTTAATACCATTTATTATTTTATTTTATTTTTAAATTTTTTTTAAATAATAAATTTTATTTTTATATTCCCCATACAATTGCAGCCCCCCCATTCTGACCCCAATCCCTCCCCTCCCGCCCCCCCACCCCCAAAAAGTGTCTCTGGTTCATAGTTTTTTGTTGATTTTGATTTTCACTTTCTTATAGTTACTCATTTTCCTGGTCCCTTATTTAAGTTTTCTAGATTCCTGCTATGAGTGAGACCATCCGGTATTTTTCTTTTTCTTTTTGGCTTATTTTGCTGAGCATGATCCCTTCCAGCGCCATCCATGTTGCTGCAAATTGCATGTGTTTATCTTTTTTGAATGCTGAGTAATATTCCATGGTATATATGTACCACATCTTCTTGATCCAGTCATCTATTTTTGGGCATTTGGGCTGTTTCCAAAGCTTAGCTATTGTAAATAGTGCTGCTATAAACATAGGGGTGCAGGTGTTCTTTGGAATTGATGTTTCTGTGTCCTTTGGGTAAATACCTAGGAGTGGAATTGCTGGATCATATGGAAGCTCTATGTTTAGTAGGTCCAGAAATCTCCACACAGCTCTCCATAGTGGTTGGACCAGTCTGCACTCCCACCAACAGTGCAGAAGAGTTCCTTTTTCTCCACAACCTCGCCAACATTTGTTGTTGCTTGTTTTTTTAATATGTGCCATTCTCACTGGTGTAAGATGGTATCTCATGGTAGTTTTGATTTGCATTTCCCTGATTGCAAGTGATGTTGAACATTTTTTCATATGCCTGTTGGCCATTCGCATTTGCTCTTCAGAGAAGTTTCTTTTTAACTCTTCTGCCCAGCAAATGTAGAAATTTAATTGACTTTATATTTGGGGGTCAGTCAGTGTTAATGAGAAAAATGACAGGACAACTCCATCTTGATTTTGAATATGTGATTGCAGTAAGTGTTGATAACTGTGAATACAAATGGTAGTATATTTTAAATGGGCCTGTGTGTAAACCTATTGCCTATTTGCATTAATAATTTTTATTCAAATAATAAATGTAATTATTTTAGGTTTATTACCTTTTTCAGAATTTTTTTTATAAAAAGTAAACCATTAGTGACTTTCTTTTATCATATGTAAAGCCTACTGTTAGGTCTTCTGGAAAATTTCACATAACCTCCTTATCTAGTAATAGTTTCAGAATCTGTTTTTTATTATAACATGGTTATTTTTGTGTTATATCTTATATAAACATCAAATTGAGTATAATCAAAAGTGTTATAATTGTTATGAGATAGCTAATTATTAACATTAAAATTTTTGCTTATTATATTTCTTTCATAGAAACTAGAAGCTGATATTCTTGAAGTTAAAGTAAGCAAGGAGCAAGTTTTGCAAGATCTACAACAGCAAAGACAGCTGAATGCAGATTTAGAGCTTAGAGCCACTGAATTGAATAAACAACTTGAAATAGAGAAAGAAATGTAAGCTAAACTATTTATGGGAGAGAATTATAAACTAAGTATTAATTTTGCTATCCCAGTACTTAAAGACTTACTAAATGTTTTTCTATGTTGATTCTATAAACTGCTTTTAATGAGAATAAAAAAATAGTCATAATATGCTTAAAATTACCTGATTCATGAAAATGACAGAAAACTTACTTTTATAAAATTTGGGCCATCTAGTCTCTTTGGTGACAGTGGTACTCATTTTTTTTGGGATCCATTGTGGTGGACAAGAGTGGATTACTCAAGAGGCTTAGGTAGTCTTGACTTTCCCAATAACTTTTTTGACTTAAGGAAAATCATCGTCATCTATTAAATCAACAGTTTGGGTGTTCTACTGCCTCTTTTTTTAGTTGTTTGGTTTAATTTAAGACATTAATGTCTTATTTTTATTTCTGAATTACACAGGATAGTTTTTAAATCTCAAAAGTAATTTATTCTGAATAGTAGATTATACTTTTTTAAAGATTGTTTTTTTCCCCATTATTTAGAGTATCCAATACAAAGTTGGATCTACAGAAAAAATCTGAAGCTCTTGAAAATATTAAGCAAATGCTTACCAAACATGAGGAAGAAAAAATAACCCTTAAAAAAGAAATTGAAGATTTAAGTCAAGATACAAAGGTGCAGCACAAGGAGTTGAGTGGCAGAATTCAAATGGCAGCAACAGAACTACAAAAAGTGAAAACAGAGAAAGAAAATTTGATGACCGAGCTTTCTGCAACAAAAGAGAAATTATCAAAAGTTTCTGATTCTTTGAAAAACTCCAAAAGTGAATTTGAAAAGGAAAATCAGAAAGGAAAAGCTGCAATATTAGATTTGGTTAGTTGTTTATACTTGCTTTCTTAAGTAGAAGTGATTATTTCATTTGAAATGTGTTAATTTTCTTCCTACTTAATTCACTGTTGACTTTTAATCCTACATTTCAGTGACTTAAAATAGTTTTTATGAGGAAAGAAATTGGTATGCCTAACCTGAGAAAAAGATATTTGTGTGTGTGTGTGTGTTGTTTACTTACTTGAAAAAAAAAGGAAAAAATTCAGAAAGATTGTGTTAACTTTTAATTCTGACACTATAAACTTTCTAATTCTTTATTGAATATTTTAAAACTTTAATTAACACCTTATCTTAGAAATACCATAAAATATATTTGAACTGTAAATAAAAAGGCCACACAGTCTCAGAAAATGCTTAATGGGGATGTACTCTTAGAAATACTATAACTCAAACTATCAGCCAAAGTAAAACTCTTGTTTTCAGTATGGTCAGTGAAAATGTTTAGTAGTATATAGAAACATGATAATATTAGCTTGTTACCTTTTTGTTCTGTTCTGTTTGGAGAAAACATCTTTCTGTTTACCTACTCTCAAGTTGTGACTATTTTTTATTTTATTAAAATATTTCCTTAATTTCCATTTTCTTGAAAACTATTGTTCTACTTTTAATGTAGTAGTGTTATAACCTAATTAATTATAATTAATTCTGTGATATAAAAATTTGGCTTCCAAAGTATTCTAAAATATTATTGAAAGTATTTATTGTGACTTTTGGTTGAGATAGAACCACTTAACTTTTTTGCTGTCACTCTCTACTGATATAGTAATACCTGTTTTTATAATTACAATGGATGATTCTATCTCTTCTTAACCCATCAATGATTCTAGTTTATAATCTGTGTGAATCTCACTAAATTTGTAAACTAAATTTTTCAAACTTAACTATAAATATTTTCTATATAATATAGTTCCTTTTTTTTTTTAGGAAAAAACTTGCAAGGAATTAAAGCATCAACTTCAAGTTCAGACAGAAAGCACATTTAAGGAACAGAATGAACTGAAAAAGTCACTTGAAAAAGAGAAGGAGGTAAGATTTTCTGTTTTCTGTAACATCAGATATGTAAAGCATAATAAAGTCTTCATGTTTTTATATTAATTCTTACGTAAAGGATTTATTTCTGAGTGTAATGGATCATGTATATGTAGTTTAAAATTGTCATTTGTGTTTTACCTACTATCCAAAAGATTTAAGCCAGTTCATAATAAAAGACCTAAAATAAAGTATTATAAAGGTGGAAAATTGAGTCAACTAACTATTGTTATAATTAGATAATTTAAGTTAGAGAACATTCATTATTACACTCAGAAAAAAGTCTTGATAGTCTTTCCACAGAAGTGACTTTCAAGGGCATTTTAATTTATGAACATTTATATTAATGACATGTTTGATCATGGTTGTTTAACTATCAATACTTTTTTAATAGTTAATGCATGTATTACTCTCCATCAAAAACAAGCAAGCAAATGAGTAAATCAGTTATTATAACATACTGTTATTCTCTGAAGACATACCTCTAGTAGAGTCCAGAGATGTAGCTTTCTAGAAATCTGATTTGATAAAGTAGAAAAATCTAGTCCTAACAATTCTTTAATACAATTGTATTCTGGTTGCTAATTAAAAGAAGATGCCTGCGTTGTATATGCCAGTCTGATAAAGTAACAAAATTATGGTGCCTTAGTGTCCAAGCTCTGAAACCAGATTGTCCAAATTTCTGTTTTCGCTGTGCCATTTATTAGCTATGTGAGTTGCCTTATAGTAAGCAAATTACTTAATCTCCATGTTCCAGTTTCCTCAGCAGTAAAATGGAGCTAATAATAAAATCCATGTCATAGAATTATTCTAAGAAATAAATGGGTTAGTATATTTCAGAATGCTTGGAACTCTGACAATAACAAAGTAAATGGTCAAATTTTAACAATTAGTTTATCACTGGTTATCATAACATAATCATCATTATTGTTAACTACCTGATTCCTGTTTTGCACAAAAATATATCCCTATGCATTGGAGATAAGATGAAATATTCTTATGTAGCACTGAAACATTTTCAAAAGTAACTTTGAATATAGCCAAGTGCTCAAATTAGGTCTTAATGAAATATGCATAAAATAGGAAAGCATGACTTTAACTCAAAGAGTGGGGGTTAGTTGTAATTCATTTCGATTACAGTAAAACCCCAGTATGACCTTTATAAAGTGAACCTAATTTTGAACTGAAATATATCCTAATGGATTATAAAAACAAGACAGTAGCAAAGTATGTTCTAGATCTCTAAATGAAGTAACTGTTGAATGATACAGTGTGATCAGACAGATGCTAAATGTATATGCCAAAAACTTACTAGTCTTCTCATAGTTAATGTGAAGTTATTATTTTTGATTAACTGTGACCAATAAACTCAGTAGTATTTTGAGAATATTCTTGAAAAATAATCATTTTAACAATCTGAAAATTGATGTTATTGCTATTTTCTGTGATACAAGGGAATCTAGTCTAGCACATTTATAGCTTCTCTCCAAATATATAAAAGTTAAAAATGAAGATAGGATTAAACAACTACTGAAGATAATCTACTGTGTCATCTAATAATAATAATCTGCTCTGTGATCTAATTGTGAATAGTGAAAGGCTCCATGAGAGCAGGACTTTTCTTTTTGGTTTACTGCTGGTTGCTTGTAACCAGCAAGCTCGGTAGTTTCTGGCTACAGTAGTACCTGGCACAATAGATGCTAAGTAAGTGGGTGCTAAATGAGTAAATGAATGTTAAACAGATTTTATTTTCTTTTAGACCTCTCATCAGTTGCAGTTAGAACTCAACTCAATGCAGGGACAAGTCACACAGGTCCAGAATTTCTTAAAACAAAAGGAAAAAGAACAACAACAACTTCAGGGGAACATAAATGAGCTAAAGCAGCTGCATGAACAGAAGAAAAAGCAAATTGAAGCTCTCCAAGGGGAAGTTAAAATTAGTATTTCACAGAAGGTAGTGAAATGATACTTGTTTACTTTATGGGGAGAATAACTTTGCAATTAATATAATTAATATAGATGAGTTGCAATGTAGAAAAATTTATATATGCTCAAGATTTTTCTTTTTTTCTTTGTCTTTTTCTTTTTCTTTTTTACATCATTGTTCATTTTAAAACACTATTTGCTTCCCCTCCCAACCCCTTGAAGTGTAGTCCCCGTAGAATTTCCTTCACCAATGCACCCGTGCACCATCACCACAGTCCCCTGTGCTCTTCCTTTCCACCCTCTGATCCCTTTCCCTCCTCTTACCCTGCAGTATATCTCTGATTTATAAGCCAGAAGGAAAAAAGAAAATATCGCATGGTTTCACTTATTGCAGAATATAGGGGACCCAAATAAGACATCAGTGTAAAAAAAATAACAGTACAAAACACAACAGTGCTTAAGATTTTTCTAACTTAAATAAACAAATACACTTGATTATATGATTAAATATGTAAATCTGGATTTTCATTCATTATAACCACGTTGTCAGATAATTCTTTTTTTATTTTTTAAAGATTTATTTTTTATTTTTATTTATTTATTTAATTTATTTGTACAAGCACTGGGGTACAGTCAGAAGTGCAGGAGGGTGAGAGAATTCACCAGAGCCAGAGCGGGGAGCAGAACAGGAAGAAGGACTGAAGTACACTGCTGAGGGGAGCAGCAGGAGAGGTCTGCGCGCCATGTGGGACCCTCCTCCAGTGGCCGGGGAGCAGCCGGGGATCGAACTGGCGCTGCAGAGGCTGCGGGCAGCTTCGCAACCCAGCGCTCAACCGCTGTGCCACCGGGGAGGCCCCATGTTGTCAGATAATTCTTATTTGAAATTCTAAGGCTAATTACTTGTTTGATAGACATAACATGAACTTTTTATAAAATAATAACTAACATGTTAAGGGAATAATTTGTATAATTTTTGTGTATAGAAAATTTTAAAGGAATTAATAAAATATGTCAAGGGAATAATTTGTATAATTTTTGTGTATAGAAAATTTTAAAGGAATTAATAAAATATGTCATTATTTAGGGAAAAATAAGAATGAAAACAAAGCACAAAATAAGCTATTTGGGGGGGTTATTTTTATTGAGGAACATTGCTTTACAGCATAGTGTGTGATTTTTCATATATTTTCATATTTTTCATTTCTTTCATGTAGAAATTTCAGTTAACCTTAAGTGATAAAATCTTCTGAAGTATCTAACACTGCATCTTCATCAGAATGTAGTTGTTCCCCAAGACTTTGATATTTAAGACTGCCCAGTGAATTTTTTTTCCATTATTTAATTACTTTTTCACTTTTTGGTTTTTAAATTGGGATATACTAGGTTTTGCAATTCTTTAGCTTTGTGGCTGTAAATAAGTAGGTTGCTCATTATTAAAGAAGAAGAATTTCAGAGCATAAATGCAGTTCAAATTGTTCTCAGGATTCTTTAGTTTGTTCTTTAGTTATGTGGATTTCATTTTGTATATTTACGGGTTTGATATGCATGCCACTTTAAATAACTATTGTATGTTTCAGACAGAGCTTGAGAATAAACTACAGCAGCAATCAACACAAGCAGCACACGAACTCTCAGCTGAGAGAGAGAGAATGTCAGCTTTACAAGACTCCTATGATAAAAGCCAAGAAATTCTAAAACAGCTTCAATCTGATTTCTATGGGAAGGAATCTGAACTTCTGGCTACAAGACAGGATCTTAAGGTATAGTAAATTACATTATATCATAAAACAATAAATTGTTCATAGACATTATTAAATGATGTATTTGAACTCAAATGAATAAGATAATGTTAGTATTTGTGGGATATCATGCATGTTTCCTATTAAATCATCATTTTTAAAGTACCATGCTTTTAAAAAATTAAATTGTTTTGTATTTTAACAAGATATGATATATGGGAATATTGGCATTTAAAAACAACTCATATCTTTACTAGTAAAATAATTAGAAAATATGTTAATTGCTGCATTATTAGCTTGTCTAAGAACTTTGCTATCTTTATGTAAGAATAACTTTTATCGAGAACTGCTATTGGGCCTCCCTGGTAGTGCAAGGGGTTAAATGTCAGCACTATGAAGCTATCTGCAGCTACTGCAGGATGAGTTCCATCCCCGGCCAGGGAGCAACCCATAACAGACCTCTCCTGTTTCACCCGCTGCTCCCCTCAGTAGTGTATTTCAGTAGATCCTCCTGTTCTGCTCCCCACTCCATCTCTGGTGAATCTTCTCACCCTCCTGCACCTCTGGCCTACACCACCCCAGTTCCTGTATACATAAATAAATAAATCTTAAAAGAAAAAAGAACTATTAAAATATCTAAGGAGTTTTAAATGTAAATCACTTATGAAGATGCAAGTAGTTGTACTCTTGCTTGTCAGGCAATATTGAGTATAGTTTTATGTAACTGTCAACTTCCCAAGACTACTAGAATGGTTAAAATGAGATTATACATCCAAAATAAATGTAACCTTAATTATCTAACCACTTATCAGAAACTTTGTTCTTGGCAATACTATTGATTTGATAAAGTGTCTGTTTATTAGAATGAATGATAAGGAAAAAAGGTAAACAAGTAACATTAAGGTATCAATCCTCTAAGGGAAATGGAACATTTGTATTTTCCCACAGATGATTCATCTAGTTCTCTTTTATTGTCAAGGTGGAATATTATGCTTTTTGTTTGGGGTTTATGTTTATTTCATTTAAAGTACATTTTTGAAAAATTCTGTTGAAAATCATGGAATACTTATGTATTATACATATATAAATATACTGTGTTTATATTTTACTCATAGGTCATTATAGGTTCCGTTATGAAGAACTTCAGACTTGACTAGGTCCTGAAGAATATAGAGCGTTTGAGTACATAGTCCTGGGAAAGGTCGTTTCACTCAGGGGCTCATTCGAGAAAAGGTGCTGAAAGGGGAGAGCAGTTAGGTAGTTATCATGATTGTTTTACTAAAGTGCTGGTTTGTGTTTGGAAGTTAAGTTAAAATTGGGATCAAATTGTAAATCACCCTAAGATGCCTAGGAAGGGTATTTGGATCTTACACTGGGAAGGGGGAAGAAATGAAGCAAAGGAGTAAAATAAAGAAAATGGTATTTTAGGCAACTTAACGTCATAGGGACTTACAGACAGCTTGGGTTGGACCTGGGGAAAACTAATGGGGTAAACTATAGGCTATCTCCCTTTCTTTGTCCATAAGTCCTAATGATTAGGGTGTGAGTTGATTAGAACTGGGATTAATGTTAAAAGAGGATGGAACAAAAGAGATTAATGGAACAGAGAAACTGAAACGAAAGGCCTAAATGGATACAGACTGCAAGGGAGGTGATGAAATCAGTAGTGACTAATGATTTGACAATGAAATAGAAATTAGATAAAATGACTTTCATAGTGCCAATAGTAGAGTGAATATATAGGTATAGACACATATAGATAGTTATAAATTAGGTTCAAAGTTAGCAAAAACTAATTTTGTATAATAAATACCTCAAGATATTTAATGTCTTATTTGCTATATTCTCTAAACTTTAAATTTTTTTTTTTCTTTACAACCCTATTGAAAGTCAGGGAAGTTCTGTGGAAGAGTTTAAACTTTATTCTACAGGCATTAGGGGACCTCTGAAAGAATTTGCTCAGATACGTATTTTAGGCCAATGACTGGCTGCAGGATAGGGGATCACTTCTGGGGAACATAGCAGAATATGGAGACTAGAGAAAGACCGCAGTAGTCCAAGTGCCAGATTATTTATTTGGAGTAGTAATGGCAGTAAGAATGGAGAAAGTGGATGAGTTTGAAGGATATTTAGATGATAGAAGAAATGAAGCTTACTGATCGTTTCTAAAAATTCTGGAAAAAAAAAGTATGGAAAAAAAAAGTGTGGAAATCACACTTTTTCATGTGTACTAGATGTACTATTAGAAATACTGTTTACCTAAGAGCTTAACATAATAACAGAACATAGATCTCTTAAATCAATGTTCTTTCATTAAGCTAACACCTATTTTTCTGTGTCTGAAACCTGCATAATATACTAATAATTTTATATATAAAGGAATAATTCAAATGTAAATAGGGGTAAAAGAAAAAGGCAGAGGGATAAGGCTGCTGTGGAGTTTGAAAACAACAGTGTTAAGATGCTGTGGATAGATCCTCTATTCCAAAGTTCCTTGTACAGAGGAGGAGACTGAGGTTTGGGTTTGTTTGTGACCAACCCCGTTCTGCGCAATCACAGAACCGTGATTAGATAGATCTTAGTTATTTTGATTTATGGTCCTCTATTCTTACACCATCTCTGGTGAAGTAGAATGTAAGGTAGAATGTTGATGAATTCTATAGTAATGCTCACAAAATCAGAAGTATCCTATTTAGGAAGTTTATAAAAAAATAAATTCTTACAGAAGTTCAAATAATATTTATAGCCCAATTAATAGATGACTATGAGCCATTAGTTTCCTTTGCCTCAATAATGTCATATAATCTTGTTGTATATAAGCAAGATTGGGAGAGGATTTGGAACCTTATAACATGATACCTTCCTAAGCAAGGCTGCCATTTGTGGCAGACAGTGTACACCAAAATACCAGTAGAACATCAGCTGGCATGATCTATGCCTTTAGCCCCATCTGCTGGATTGTTTGTGAAGTACTTAAATTTTATGACTATATTTCAGATTTGCTTTGCTGTATGTTTTTGTTGTTGAGAAAAGGTAAAACTGGGATTTAACTATAAATTTTATATTCTAAGTGAAATGAAATACTAAAATATTGTTTAGAATTCAATATAGATCATCTTAGTGTACCACTATTTTTTGTCATTTTTATCAGACATCAAGAAAAAGTGATAATGAAAATTTAAAGGTTTTATTTTGAAAAAAGAAAGAAAAACATTACTGGTACAGATAAAAAACAACGGTTACTGCAGAACACTGCAGAAATTCTTTTTTAGTTTGCTACTATAATGTGATTATTCAGTGTCACTGTTAGTGGTTGGTCTGTGCAGGTGTTTACCTATTTCTAATGGATGGAGTGGTTGGGTTACAGATAACTCCAACAAAACCATGGAATGGGAGAAGGAATTCTCCAAGGGAAGAGATGCTGGACATGTGGAAATAACATGGTCTGCAACAGGAAAACTAAAAGGAATATTTAAAAGGTGTGACACTGTACTACTGAATGACATAGATGAATGTTTGGATAGAAGATAGCGTAATATTTCTTGGCATCCTGAGAAGAGATTTCATGGAGCAGTCCACATTTTGAGCTTGATTTAGTGAGAGGGTTTTTGTGAGTTTAAATTTATGTAGGCCATTACTTAAACCATGGACATTTTGGAATAATTGTCAGAGTTTGCCTTCTACACCCTAGCAAACCTTAGAATTCTCTAACATTAATCAGCATCTCTGTTACCTAATTACAGTGATTATAGATGCTATGGAGTAGGCTTTGTCAAATTTTGTTCATTTTATCAGAAGTTACTCTCACCCTTTGTGATAGTTAGGTCAGTTCCTACAAGTACTATGGGGTCTTCTGTAAACACATTCCACGTTTGAATATGAGGGCTCTCATGCTAATTTTTTTGTGTATTTGGCACATAAGAAATGACTACTTCCTGTGTAGCTTCCATTTTACATACTGGTTCCATTTTTCAGGTTATAGAATCAGCTGTTTTTAAGTCAAGGACCATCTTATATCTTCCTGTCTGCCGAAGCAGTTTATTCAATTAATGATTAGCTGTTTGATTAGTAAGGGAATACTTTTTGTCTTTCCCGAAAAGAAGCCTTATGGTTCTTAGTATTCTATTGGAAGCCATTGAAAGGTGAAATTTAATTTATATCAGAAAGTCTTCTGAACTAAGTTTTTCTAATAAGGAGTAAACCTTTCTCATTCAAGAAGCTCATTAAATCCATGAAATAAGGTCTACATTTTTTTTCATTTATTATTATTTTTTGAATTTCAAGCCTAACCAGCAGGGACCCTGAAATAGAAATAGAAATAGTAATAGAAATCATGATTTCTATTACTTTGCCTCTTTTTCAAAGAAACTACATCTCTAAAATGTATTCTCCTAGGATAAAACTCTTCTTATCAATTAAAGATTTTATATGTCAAGGGATATCATGTATCTTACAAAACATATGCATATATAACGTAACATTTAACCACATCTCAAGAAACTTTTACATGTCCTCTCCATATGTATGTTCTCTAAGCATTATAGTCTCTACCTATTTGACATTCCCTTATATCATTTGGTCATGAAATACTTACAAATTATTTCTAGGGCTTATAGAATGGCTTCAGTCTTACCAAATATTTTATACTTTAAATGTTTTCCATAGGCAAGACAGTTAATTATCTATAATTCTTTCTTTTCCATGACCTCACTGAGGGCATAACATGCTATCTTTTTACAGTATATGATTTTTTACTGTACTCATGTTGATTGTTATGTTTCTGTTGAAATTTGTTTTAAAAATCACATATAATAATTTTGGACAATTGTTTTTATAAGTCTGCAGAAGAGAAGCTTTCTCTGGCACAAGAGGACTTGATTTCAAACAGAAATCAAATTGGAAACCAAAATAAATTGATCCAAGAACTTAAGACTGCTAAGGCTACTTTGGAGCAGGATTCAGCAAAGAAAGAACAACAATTGAAGGAGCAGTGTAAAACTCTACAAGATATTCAAAAAGAAAAGGTATTTCATTCTCTGAAATTTTAAATTTTAAATTCATTCTCTGAATTTTAGAGTTGGAATGGCCAGCTAACATTCTCTTAAAATTCTTACCTAAGATAGACATCACCTTTATTTTTAATCTCTCTCTTACTTGGATTTCTAGTTTCTGATAAAACAGTTCTGGCACTTGGAATTGCAATGCCTGAAAGTATTTCTTAAGAATCTCCTTATAATATTTACCCATTTTTTTTACTGCCCTTTTGTAGTTTTTAAAAATTGTATAAGGACACAGAGGCAATAGAAGGTAATTAATTTGTTCAGGTTAGGTAGAAAGGGGCAGAGATTATGTCATAAAATAGTTGCGGTCATTTTTATTAATTATTTTTCAATTAAGTACTAACTTTTAAATTATTTTTTTTAAATTATTTTTCAACAGTCACTGAAAGAAAAGGAACTAGTCAATGAAAAATCTAAACTGGCAGAGATAGAGGAAATCAAGTGTAGCCAAGAAAAAGAAATTGCTAAATTGGGTGAAGAACTCAAGTCCCACATGCAGGAAAGTTTAAAGGTAAGTTAAGATTAACAGTGTTCTTGTATTCTTGTTTACATTAAAAATATATATTTATTGAGAAATCTACTGTGTGTGTCCACAGTGTTTTTTGTTTTGTTTTTGACTAATACACTCACACTTATTCTTATATTGAAACTATGTCAGTTTGTGTTCAGATGAATGAATAAAGCTGTTGCCCTACACGTTTAAATTTTGTTGAGATGATGATCAAGAGAACCATTGATTTAGAAAGTTATGCTTGCAGATAGTAAATTTCAACATATCTAAGTATTTAGAATTAAAATTTTAAGGAATTCAGTGTTTTTCAGATTTTCCCACCAAAGTCCTTAATGATCTCTTGTTCTGAACATTTTATTGTAGGTATAGCTAGGTTGCCAGTAGAAGAAACTGTTTTTAATGCACTCTGTAAAATGTTACTGATTTTCTTAGAGAAAGAATTTTACTCTAATGCCTTTTATGTCTATTATTATATTTGCCATTTTCCTATATAATTATCTATTTATGTCACTATATTTTCCCAAACTGACTTCCTGAAAGTAGGAAATCTGTATAATTCATCTTTTTAAAGTATCTCTAGGACCTAACACTGCGTGTCATACCTAAATGGTGACCTATAAATGCTTATGCTTGCTAAGAAAGGGAAAATAGGAGCAGAGATTTTTTTTCACATAAATTAATCAGAACATACAAATGCAAAGTATTACTTGATTTTAAATGATTGTTGGGCAGGAAGTAAATAATGCATCTTTTTGGCCAATTAAAATATTAAATTGTAAGACTCATGAGAGAAGAGACTACAACTAATACTGTGTATGTTATGATACAGGGCATAAATTTTAGCTATCTTTTGAAATATTTACTATTAAAGATGATACTTTTTTATTAGGAGGTAGCAAATCTCAAGGATGCCAAACAGCTCTTAATTCAGCAAAAATTAGAGCTTCAAGGAAAAGTGGATTCCCTGAAGGCAACTCTTGAACAGGAGAAGAAAAACCAGCAAATGATAAAAGAACAGGTGAAAAAAGAAGAAGATGAGCTGAAGAAAGGATTTATTGAGAAAGAAGCTAAACTGGTTAGTGAACTAATGGTGGGAAATACATCTTGTAATTGATTTTGTAAATCAATCCAGTAAGAGAGGGTTTTACTACTTAGAAATTATGATTGAAATGCTTTTAGTTTTTGACTAAAAAAGGAGATCTTATTTGTTTAAATAACTAATATATGATTGTGATTATTTTACTCTGTACTTGTGTTTCGATTTATGTATTTGAAAATCCAAATAAATCAAAATTCAAAAAATGTAAAAACACTTTTAGTGCCAGAAATACAAATAAACCGACATCTATGTAGATTGAGGTAAATGACGTGAATGCTAATCATGTTAAGCTCATTTGTTTGGTCAAAGTGAATGTTAATGGGGGAACGGAAACTTCAGTTGGGAATTATGATGACCAAAGTCTACTCTTCCTTCCCTGTGTTGTGCATGCCAAATGGGAAGCATCTGGCTTTCCTCTATTGAATTAAGTCCAAATATCCTCAGATAACTGGACTGTTTGAGTTGAAGAATTGCAATTTCAAGTTCACACAGTTATTTGAAGGATTTATATTGCTTTTTTGGCAGGTTGATAGAAACAAAAAGGATGCATGTGGAATTTGAGACATAAGGAAATACCAACTTTGTCTCCAGGGTACCTTGCTATCCCAAATTTGTGCATTCTCCTGCTCTGGTGGAAAAAGAAAAATCTCAAATTGCTTTACTTTAGCTTGATCTTATAAGAGACTTGCTAACTGTCATTTCAGCATTATGGCCTTTGAGCCAGTTCAAATTGAACAGATGTTTGTGGAATCAATTTTATTAGTGTATAATGAAATATATTCTCCCGCCTCCTTTCCTGAAAAGAAGTATTATTTATGTTACCAATATTTTAAATTCAATAACTAAAATTTGTTTTTGCACTACATTTGTAAGATTTTTTCCCCCCTTGTTTTTCCTTTTCTTAGCACTCTGAAATAAAAGAAAAAGAAGTAGGAATGAAGAAGCATGAAGAAAATGAAGCTAAACTTACCATGCAGATTACAGCATTAAATGAAAACTTGGGCACTGTAAAGAAGGAGTGGCAATCTAGTCAACGGAGAGTTAGTGAACTTGAGAAACAGACGGATGATTTGCGGGGTGACATTGCAGTATTAGAAGCAACAGTTCAAAATAATCAAGATGAAAGGAGGGCTTTATTAGAAAGGTGATTGATTTTTTCTAGTAAAATTAAAGTATTTCCATTCTAAGTGATGAAAACACTGTAATTCCATGTTTAGAGGAATCTTAAGAAAAGTGTTTAAGTCGTGCATGTATTTAAGTAACCAGGTAAAAACTCTTAAACCAGGGCCTCCCTGGTGGTGCAGAGGTTAAAGTCTCAGTGTAAGCTCTCAGCAGCCACCGCAGCCTAAGTTCGATCCCCGGCCAGGGAGCTAACCCACACGGCACATAGACCTCTCCCATCTAGCCCACTGCTCACCTCAGCAGTGTATTTCAGATCCACCTGTCTGCTCCCCACTCTTTCTCTGGTGAATCCTCTCAACCCCATGCACCTCTGGTCTATACCCCAGTTCTTGTATCCATAAATAAATAAAAATAAATCTTTAAAAAAAATCTCAATCAGATAATTGAAATTTTATGTATTATATTTAAAGTTGTTAAAGTAGTTCATTATCTGCATTCAAGAAGTATCATTAACTTTTTTAAAAGTATCTCTTTTTTAAAAAAGTATCCTTTTGTGTTCTATCCTAGATGTCTTAAGGGAGAAGGTGAAATAGAAAAGCTTCAAACCAAAGTTCTAGAATTGCAAAGAAAGTTGGATAATACAACTGCAGCCGTACAGGAGCTGGGCAGAGAGAATCAATCCCTTCAGGTAGGTCATATGGTATTATAAGGCAGTTTTTTAGTCTAAAATTTATCTCCCAGTGAAAAACATAATCAGACTTCACAAAAATCTCATATTAAACAGATGTTTTTGAGGCCTTGCCTGGTGGTACAGCGGTTGAGCGCTGGGCTGTGAAGCTGCCTGCAGCCTCTGCAGTGCCAGTTCAATCCCCGGCTGCCGGCGAGGGTCCCACCTGGTGTGACAGACCTCTCCTGCCATGCCCGCTGCTCCCCTCAGCAGTGTATTTCATCAGTCTGCCTGTTCTGTTCCCTGCTCTGGCAGAATTCTCTCATCCTCCCACACTTCTGACTGTATCCAGTGCTTGTATAAATAAATAAATAAATCTTTGGAAAAAAATTAATAGATATTTTTGGATTTTTGGATAGCTATCTGCATAGCAGTGTTGTATGTCTTATGAGTAACTAAATATAAAAGATACAGAACTTGTGTAAGAGATCCCAGGGGTTAGAGACTCCCGTAATTCTTGAATTGTCAGTACTGGGAAGGAATTACAAAATTAAAAACCACCAAGAAATAGATAGGTGGCGATGTGATAAGAAATGATCTGTGTTCCTGAGGAGGGTTGATTACTGGGGTTAGAATGGATGAGAAATCACCAAAGATTAGAAATTACTAATACCTTTCAGGAATACATTTGATTTGTTTAAGTTTTTTTTTTTTTTCCTCATTCAGACTTATGAATGTAGGCAACTTTTAACAATGGAAGTTGACAAAAGTATTTCTGATTTTTAAAATTTTTATTCTGTAGTGCATATTTTATAAAACTTAAAATTTTTTGGAATTTGGGTACCAGATTAGAACTTATCAATCATTCTTTAAAACATTGAATATTATAATGTATTTTTTTAACAGATTAAACATACACAAGCGTTGACTAGAAAGTGGGCTGAGGACAACGAAGTACAAAACTGTATGGCATGTGGGAAAGGCTTTTCAGTAACAGTGAGACGGGTAAGTGGTTTTTTTGTTCATGTTAGTATGATTTGGGATTTTATTTGTTGGTAACAGTTAATGTATTAGCCATCAAAGTAGTCCTGAATTTGGCAGATTTAAAAATCTTTCCCATTTGTTGTTTAAGTTTAATTTACTACTATATACAGTAAACTATCTTGTTTCTGGTTAGCATAACTGTTTGAATTGTAGTTTTAAATTCAGGCATTGTCTTCCTGCTCAGTTACATTCTTGAAAAATCATTTTCTAAAGTAATACCCCAGTATTAAACTCATGTTTTAGTCATGTTTGGGATCTTTAAAGGAGGAAAAGGCAGAGACAAAGAAAACTTGTTCAAAATAATGCCATCATATGATATTTCAAGTTTATATTCCTGTTGAAGAAATGATGCCTGAAACATTTGGTGAATAGTTTTTCACCTGATAGAGGTGCTTTCTTTGTTAACACTCTTTAATGTCTGCTAGGGTTCTTTTGAGAATTCCATGATAAACCCATATAAAATGTGTGGCATAGTATCATAAATAGGAAACATTAAATTCAACTAAAGGATTAAATTAACATGTTGAAATATTATGTTGTTAAATAATACACTACCCACTTGAAAGTTAATGCATATTCACAGTGTGATTTGTAGTATTCTTATAGTCTCACAATGCTTTTAGTATAGTTTTTATGCTTGAAATTGTTTTTGTCATTTGCAGCATCACTGCAGACAGTGTGGAAATATCTTCTGTGCTGAGTGTTCTGCCAAAAATGCCTTAACTCCTTCTTCCAAGAAGCCTGTTCGTGTCTGTGATGCATGTTTCAATGACTTACAAGGATAATGGATTATCACAACTTCAAAGTAATATTATACAAATATTAGATTTTTTAATAAATGCACTTAATAGAGGTCTTGGACTACTATTTGATTTGGACAGTGGTTGCAATACTAGACCAAATTAGAGTTCGTATATTTTGGAATGTTATCAATATCAAGTAAAACTCTTCTATTTTTGTGAGATTTGGGCTCATCTTTCATTACTTTTTCCCCAATTAACCCCTGAAACAGCTTTCATGATAAGTTTAGAATCAGCCAATGAAATGTAAATAAACTTTGAACAGAAAATAGCAATGTATTTTTTTAAATATAATTTCATTATTCACAAATGACATGGATACCGTCCCATAGCTTGCTTCTTCTTTCTCCTAAATTTAATGTACAGATATGTACATGGATGATGTTATCAATCATATAGGTTGCACAATAATCCATGAGTTACATGAAATATTCTCTTTGTGAAGTCATGCACAGAACTATAAAACTTTTTCTTATATTTAGGTCCTTAGCTCAGTTGCATTATTGTGTTACAAATATTATATATTTACTATTTGAGTGTTCTAAATACAGTTTATGTTGAAATATGTATTAACCATGAATTCAAACATGGTTGTTGTTTTAACAGTACTGATTGAATCCTCTTGGGTGAATTTTATGTGAATCTCTGTAAAATCACTTTGCTTGCTTTATGGTTATCCTGGGGTTGTGTTTTAAAAATTAGGGTTACTTTTTCTTTTCCCTTTGTCTTTTTCTATCTTATTTTTGAACTTCCCCATATTTTCGATTAAGAATCCTATAAAACTTTCCACCCTCACCACCAATTGGAGAATGAATAATAGAAATTGTGCAATGGTCCTATTCTCAGTTTCTTGTAAGCAGGAAATCTTCTGAGATAAGCTTTCATATTATTACCTTCATTTTCTTTTTCCAGCATCTTCAGGAACCTGAATTTGTTCTTTTAATGGATCTGTGCTTTTCCTTTTTTTTTTTTTTAACCTTCCTGTGCATAGCTCAGCTCACTGTAATTATTTTATAAATTTGATCTTAAATCTAGTAACTGATATTGCTATGGTCTTATCTGTGAAAACAAATTCAAAAGGATAAAAGAGACAATAAATTTTCTACTATATACTTTAGTGTTATCTAGTAGGGAAGAACTTTTAAAAGTTGTGACCTTGACTTAAAATTTAAAATGGCTCTAAATTTGGGGTTCCATATATTTTAGTGTGCAAAAATAATGCCATGAAATTATCTTGAAGTAATATCTGAAGAATAGAGTATCACCAAAAACAAATATATTTAGGCAACTCAAAGTGATAAGAAGTGAAACAGTGACTAAGTATAATTAAAAATTTGTGTATTTGTTTTCTGAATGATGGAATTGAACTTTATCATAGTCTTACTAATTTGAAAAATTGGAAAACATCTAAATAGGAAAGTTTTTAATATTGGTTTATTACTCTTTATAGGGAGGATATATAAAGTCAATGCGGTTGTTCAGTGCAGTCATTTGATAATAGTAGCAGGGAAGGATTGGAGCTAATATTTCATTTACAATAAAGAATTTATAATATATCTTTGTTTTCAGATATCATGCTGATAAAATTATCATGTATTTGCTCTGTCTACAATGTATATTAGCTAACAGGGATTGTCACATATTCATTGAATTATTAAAAAGAAAAACAGCATTAAGTAAATCCTGTTGTCAGCCGCTATTAAGGATACTTGATTGAGTCCCTGGACTTGGAAAAACATATATCCTTGAGCATATATAATGAAGAAATACATGACTCTTTATTAAAAATAATAGTTGGATAATATAAATTGAGCTGAAATTATTTATGCATTTTCATGTACTTTTAAGTCCTTTTAAATAATCTTAATTCAACACTTTACATATAAGTAATAAGTATGTTAGAAAAACAGATATCCACAACACCTTTGCTTATTGTTTTTTAAGATGACAAAACAATATGAGAATCCTTCTAGATTAAAATATTTATTCATTTCATCTCCAAATTCGGGGCACTGCAGGCCTTTTTTCTGTCCTGTCCTCACTCCCACATATTCACAAAAAAATGAACAAATAAGACCATACGTATTTGAGTAATCTAATCTCATTTCACAGGTCACAAATAATTTACAATAGGCAACTATGCTTATATTAAAAATGAAATCTAGTATTTTCTATTTAACTCTAACCAATTTAAGATGTTTTAGAAACAAAAGTTAGAGGGTTTTCTTTTAATTAGAAAGTCGCCTTCTGAGTCTTTATTTAAGGGCCCCACTGTTGAGGTATCTGTTGGTACTATTATTCTGTTGGTAATTAGAGCTGGAACATAGGGAGTCCCAGCTCCTGGCTCTAATAGAAAGCATGTTGGCATCATGTGTTAGTAAAATTCCAAACCCTAGTGCCGAAATGTGAGATAAAATCAAGTCTTGTTGGGTTACTGTACAATAAACTATAGCTATAGAAATTTTTTAGTAGAAAGAAGACAAAGCTGCTGGTATAGGATTTTTTTCCTTTCGAAGAAAAAAGAGGGAAACAAACACAAAAACCTCAATGCAGTATACAAATAACATTTGTTCAACTACCTCTTAATGTGGAATTAGCTAGTTTGATAGTTTTCTCACAGTAATGTTAAATAGTAACTGCCAAATTTGTTAGTTTCCCATCTCTCTTAAAAAGGCTTTATGATTATTTTATAGTTTGGAGAACTTTCAAGCCACTTTTTTTAACCTTGCATTTGCATAAAATATTTAGCTTTTAAGTGGAGAGCAAATTATGATCTTATATTTTGATATTCATGACTATAGCAGTTTTTTTAAAAATGTACTTTCGCCATAAAACCATTGATGATTTGATCCTTACGATTTGAATGTGCCATTGATTGAGTATTCCTAGACATGAGCTTAATGGAGGTTGTTCTGTAATTATAATGTGCCACACATTATTGTGTCTTAATTGCCTTTTGCCTGAATTTTAATGATCAATTTGTTATTGTTGCAGATGTGAATATTGTGCATAAACTTACTAAATTTATGTAAAATTGTATAAAATAGAATTGGAAATAGTTAAGTTCTTTCTGTGTAGAAGTAATGGATTTATTGTAATATGATGCAGTTATGTATATGACATTCTGTAATTCCATGAACTGGATCATATATTCATAGCTTCTGTAGATACTTTTGCATGAATATTTTCTCATTTAGTTTTTGGATCCATCATTTGTATTGTGTTTACTACTTGTGATCTTGTAGTTGTGCCTTATTTTGTGAGGGAGTTTAGCTCAGTAAATACTGTAATTTTTAAACTCAGTGATTGGAGGGTTATTGATTATAAATGCAACTGATAAATTACATGACAGCATTTAAATCTGTAAAAAGAACAATGGAAGGATCCTTAATGAATTGTTGCTTTTGTTTTTTTTAAATACGTTAAAGATATTAAAGAAACATTTCTTTCTAATAGATGTTTTCTGTCATTATAAATTATTTTGTCTATTTAAAAAGAATAAGATATACATTTTGTATTAATTTATTAACAGAAATTAGAACTTTAAATGTGGATGTAGACAGAGGTTATACTTTAATATTATTCAACTGAGTATAGTAATTAAGTTTATAACTTCAAGAGAAATTAATACCGTTTGCTTGAGAAATTCCCTTTTTATTCCATATATTATTGTGGAGAATTAACAAAACTAAAAAGAAATATTAAACAATATTAAAGAAATCCCTTTTTTCATCTGTACATCTAATTTTAATATGCAGGTGAGCCGTTTTTCTGAAGGCTCAATGTACCATTATTTTTTACTGTTTTTTCTCCCTGGGAACCAAAGTTCTGGAGCAGTTTCTTCACTTTACTTTGGTTTGCTTTCCTCTGAAAAGTTGAATGTGTATATCCTTGAGCACACAATATGTTTTGTTTTAGATATATTCCTTTATGAGCTTCATATCGAATTCCAGTTTACATATACAGCATATTCTTTTAAACATTTTTATTTTGTATTTGGTAAGAACATCTAACATACCTCCTTTCTTGACATATTTTTAAGTGTACAATACAGCAAATCTCAAGAGCTTATTCATCTTGTTTAACTGAAACGTTATGCCCATTGATTAGAAACTCTCCATTTTACCCTCTTCTCAGCCCTTGCCAACCACCACTCCTCTCTGAGGTTCTATTAATTTGACTGTTTTAGTTATCTCCTATAAGTAGATCCTTATAATATTTGTCTTTCTGTGATTGGCTTATTTCCCTTAGCATCATGTACTCAAGTTCATCAATGTTGTTGCATGTAGTTGAATTCCTTCTTAAGGCTGAGGAGCATTTTACCTTATGCCTATGCCACATATTCATCTATTCATCTGCCAGTGACATTAAGGTATTTTCCACATCTTAGCTATTGCACTAACAATAGGAGAGCTAATATCTCTTTGATATAGCATACTGTTGAGCTGTTTTATAGACTTTATGTTAATTCAGTCTTTCCCTTTAATGAGAAATTAGACATATATGTATTGATTGTATATATGCATGTATATGTATTTGGTCACTGGACTCATGGGACAAAGGAATCTTGAGAGGTCCCCTAGCCTAGTCCCTTGGCTTCTTCCTTATATTCATAGGTCTAAAATTACCTGCAAGATGATTATATTAAGTTTTTTCTGGGGGGAAAAAAGATTTTTAGCCAGAAATTTCTTCCTAAATCTTCTTTCGTATAAATCTATGTTGTGTTTTCCTGGACATAGTGGTTTTCATTAACAGTAGCTTATTAACAGTAGCTACTGCCTACTGTTTTCATTAACAGTAGCTATGCCTTACCGATTTTCCTTTCATTTCACTTACTATAAAGAAACTGTGAACCAGCATTCTAATTAATAGTGCTTGCCCCTTGCACAAGAGCCTTTCTGCTGCAGTTGTCTGTACTTCTAGGTTTATATGGTGATGCTCACATTTTCCATAAAGAATGAATTGTGCATGGGACCTCCCAAGCATCATCCATTCTACCCTATTCTCCAACTTAAGGAGGTGAGTTAAGATATCATTTGACTTGTAGCCCAAGTTGATAAAGCTAACACTTCCATCATGGAAATTGCAAAAGGTACCATAACATGCCTCAAATTGAAATATGTGGACTTCCATTTGATAAATTCTGACTGTAAGAAATCAACAACATAGGAATTTAGTTCCCTACATGGCATTAATACTATTTTTTACCATGATAATATAATATTCAAGATGCCTTTCTTGATAAAAATGCTAATGGAGTTTCAAGTCCTTCCATAATTAAGTGTGCTATGCTAAAACACACACACACACACAAAATCAGTAAGTAGTTTTATGACAAACTATCATTCTTTAAAAAATGATGAATGGTATTATATTATTTCTATGAGAATCTCCCATGTAAAAGAGTTAATTGGTGAAACTGGAACAGATTTTTGCCTTTTCTTTC